TCAGGTCATTTTCCGGTTATGACGTGAATGGATATCGCTTTCGCACAACAAGCTACGAGCAGAGTCGGCCAATCGAAGAACCACAAGTTCCGAAGTTTTTACGCCCGGCGTTGATGAGGTCGAGTATTATGGAAGAATTGAAGAAATATACGAACTCAAGTTTCATGGTTCCAAACCTTTTAATCTCGTCATATTCAAATGTCATTGGTTTGATCCTGAAGTAACGAGACGGACATATTCTAATATTGGGCTAGTCGAAATTCGACAGGATTCCGTCTTACCAAGAGACGATGTCTATATTGTGACCCAACAGGCCACGCAAGTTTATTATCTCCCATATGCATGTCAAACCAAAAGTTATCTTAAGGGTTGGGATATTGTGCACAGGGTATCGCCACACGGTAAAGTGCCTGTCCCAAACGATGAAGATTACAACTTAGACCCAAACACATATGACGGAGAGTTCTTTCAAGATGAGGGACTAGAAGGGAGGTTTGAGATCGACTTAACCGAAGCGATCGGAATGGAAGTAGACAATGAAACGGTTATTGAAGAGGACGCTGGAGATGAGGTGCAAAATGTGAAGGACTTACAAATGCTTGAGCGATTACATTTAGACAATGACAATGGCAACATTGCTCATTCAGATAGTGTTGATTATTTCGACATGATTGATAGTGATGATAAGACTTATGATCCAGCTAATCCCGATCATGAAGATTATTTCTAATACATGTAATACTATATTATTTTGTAATTACGTTTTATTTATTTTGCATCTCTTTCTAAGTACTTCTTGTTTATCTGTGCATATTGGTTTACTATTTTTAATTGCAGGTGATTAAACAAAGATGGTGGACGGTGGGATGAGGAAGCTAGGTGATGATACTTGTGGTTGTTAATGGTACTTCTATTTGCAATTGTGGTTGTAGATGATGGAGCACTTGGATTACTTGTGAACTTATTTGTGAGACATGTGACGTTTGTGATATATATGTGGTGTTGATGATATATATATATATGTTGTTGATGATATATATGCGATGTTGGTGATGTTTGTTATATATATCTTCTGTTTGTTTGGATGGAATGTAAAAAACAAATAAAAAAGGTTGTTTTCAGTCACTTTGCCGAGTGCAATGGCCATGACACTCGCCAAAGTGACGACCTAAGAACATGCCTGGTAACATGCTTTGCTGAGTGCAAAGGCCATTGCACTCGGCAAACATCACAGATTTGCCGAGTGCCACGGGCCATGCACTCGGCAAAGGTCGCCTGTTTGCCGAGTGTCCTGCCGGTGGCACTCGGCACAGTGGCCACCTTTGCCGAGTGTCTGAGTCAACGACGCTCGACAAACTTTGCCGAGTGCTTGACCTTGACACTCAGCAAAGCCGCCGTCACGGCGACTTTTCTTTGCCGAGTGTCAGATTAGCACTCGGCAAAGGCTTTGCCGAGTGCCCGATAAAGTGGGCTCGGCAAAGAGGTCTTTGCCGATAAACTATTTACCGAGCGCCCTTTGCCGAGTATAACACTCGGCAAAGGCTTTGTCGAGTGTATATCGGCCTGAGCCACTCGGCAAAGAAGCTGAATCCGATAGTGATGCCAGCGCTACTTCCGCGGTTATGGCACAGTGCCACACCGTCCCACTGTTCTGTTTGTCTAGCCTGCTAGACATCAAGGAATTGATCAATATAAAACTAATATAACATGGAAGCCCATTGTTTTTTTTCTCTCGAATACGTAAAAAATTTGCATATTATTGTATTAAAAAGAAGAGTTTGAACACACAAATAAACAACGCACCTCTGTCAAGTGCCGAGGGAGTTAGACCTAAAACAGTCATAGCTGGATCATCCTAACAAAAGAAGTTACATTTCGATATTACATAAATAAAAAACAACTAATACCGACGTAGTGGTGCAACTTAGAAGGTGGCCTTGCGTCTTCGCGGTTGCCTGGACGAATCCTTTCCGCCATCAGGGAAGAGCGCATCCATTGCGTGTGTGATATATATATATATATATATATATATATATATATATATATATATATATATATATATATATATATATATATATATATATATAGAGAGAGAGAGAGAGAGTCCAGCATGATGCTACGTTACCAGTAATTATTTGGATCTGCAGTAACAAAAAAGAGTCTTGAAAAATGGCAGAGGGTGATGCCGCCCTGCTGCATGCCTGCATGGTCACACAAACAGCAAATAATCACAACCAATCGACCCATGTTCCGACAACTCTTCCATGCGATTGCCATGGTCGTCGTCGTTTGCACAATTGCACTCCCTCGCGCGCTTCTTGATTTGGTACGTGATCTGACGCCATACGTGAATTCTGCCAGTTCGCGGGCGAGAGCTCGCCGCTTGCCCTCTCCTGGACGGTTTCCACGAGCTCGCGGGCGAAGGCGTTGAAGCCTAGGGCGTCCAAACAGACATCCTCATCGGAATCCGCCGCTGGCCCGCTGCCACATCTCGTGTATGACTTCCGAGAGCTCCCTGCCGATGGCGTTGAAGCCTAGGGCCTCCAAGACAGCCTCGTCTGCCGCGTCCGCCCTCGCGACGATCACGCCCATGTCTCCCCGAGTTCGCGAGCATTGCGTTGGCGTTTCTTCGCCAATCCCGTCGAGATGGAGATCTGGAGATGGATGCGCGTGAGAACCTGAGAACAGATCAAGGCGAGAAAACGCTAGGGCTAACAAACCAGCGATGGATCGACGTGCATGAGTAGGCACATGTATATATAGTGGTGCATGATGTGCTTAAGCGCCAAAACGCATTCTGGAGACAAATTCGCTCGGACTCTGTGTTCCCGACTTCCCGTATACTTAGTTTCTCGCCGAGTCACGCCCCGCCTCCGCGATTCGACGGCTGCGAGCTGTGCCTGCCCCGTGCCGCCCGTTGGAACGGGCCGTGCCTGGGTCGGCACTACGAGCCGACCTTTCAGCCCAGGCACGGGCACGGCTATGGGCCGGGCCAGGCACGGGCACGGGCGAGGCCGGACCGTACCGGGTTAGGGTCGTGCTTTTTCGCACCGGGCCCGTGCCAGCCCGTTTCGCGTGGCCATTTGGAAATTTATATCGCCAAGTAACCGTCAAGGGTCTGTCCCATATACAAATCTGAAAACCCATCAAAGGAAACCCACACAGCTACATAGACATTGAGGCCGGGAATCTTGCCTTCCCGGTCGCCCTAATGGAAGACCTATTTGACCATAGGGCCTGTTCGAATTCTTTTAAAGCAGCGACTGGAACGTGAGTGGAACGAGCTACACTACACATATGCCAGTTGCCAGATCTTCATCCTCTATTATTATATTACTGTACACGTTAAGCCTTGGCAGAGCTTAAAAATACTGCAATCAAACTAGGCCCCCTTTCCTTTTGGACTATATGTAACAATTGTAGCCTACATGCGCGGACGCTGTAACAGGTAAAAAAAAAACAATCTCCAACGCCCTATTCTAAATTGTAAGTTGTTGTGGCCTTGTAGATATATATAGTTTTTATTATACATTTAGACATAATATATATCTAAATACATAAAAAAAATATGTATACCTAGAAAAAGAATGACTTATAACTTGAAACTGAAGGAATATCAAATATAGTTTGTCATCTACCCATTCTTTGGACTAAACTACCAGACGGTCAATTATATGAAAATGTTGTACCACGGTCTAACATTTAAATGGTATGTATAAACAGCCAAAGCGACTGTTTTGGCGAACAATGGTGTAGATACATATTAAAAGTAATGTAAAAGTCAAAACATCATATAATTTAGAATGAAGAGAGTATGAGACTAATTTGTGTTTGGATACTACAGACTAAAGTTTAGTCGTGTCAAATTGGATGTTTCACACTAATTTGTAGTATTAAATATATACTAATTACAAAACTAATTACATAGATAGAGACTAATTTACGAGATGAATCTATTAAGCATAATTAGTTCATGATTTGACAATGTGGTACTACAGTGAATATGTGATACTGATGGATTAATTAGACTTAATAGATTCGTCTCGCAAATTAGTCTCCGTCTGTGCAATTAGTTTTATAATTAGCTCATGTCTAATCCTCTTAGTTAGTATCCAAACGTTCGATATGACAGGGCCATACACTCCCTAGTCAATGTGCCAGTGGGTTACAGGGACGGTCTCAAAGTTTAAATGGGTCAATAAAGCCGAAACCTATTGACCCAATAGCTCAGATATGACAACCTAGTCGTCTCATAACAATCTTATTTTTAATGTGTTGGCCTTGATTTCTTCAAAGACATGATTAGTCATAGCTTGTAAGCACGTCAATGCTTACAAATAGATGTAGAAATAACATATTTTGCAAGTGAAAATAGATAAAATTAAAATTATAGTTCACTTACAAATTTATTTAATTTGATACATTATTGTTAATAACTTCAATGTCTTATCGTGATACTTTCTAGAAATATCTATAGTATTTGTGTCCATGCATGATAGTTGACAAATATCTGGGCCAACTCATGCAACCCATTGGGCCTGCAAGATCATACATGATCTTTAGGTTGAATGGATCTATCCATCATCATCACTCCTAAAATTGGCCCTGGGCAAGGAACCAAAGGTAGGGTCAGGTCAGCCCATTCGATCCTAATAAACTTGATTTGAACCTGAAATCTGATACTGATAGGCGTACACATATTACAGAGCCAAAGTGGTTATATGTGATTCTCAAAAAGTGGTTACATGTGAGCCATCTGCTAAATTTTTTTCTCGTTCAAAGCCAGTTCTCGTGCATTCTAACTTGATTTTCTTCAGCCGCAAAACAAACATCAATCTACCACCTCCAATTTGTTAAAGGCTAGCGCTAATTTAGCACACGCATTGTATCATGGCAAAAACATTGATGAATGCATTCCTTTCCTTCCTGAAACTCTGAAAGGATTGACGCGACCTTAAAGGGCTTCCATAATCTCTTGGAGGCCCATATCTCATGTGTCATCAAGCCATCTCTTTAGCTTTTCTCTTATCCTTTCGCTTCTGCTCTCGTGTACCTGCAAAAACACAACAAAAAATTAGGAAACTGAGAGATGCTGTTTATACAGCCTTTGGCCATTTTCTCATTATAGCTGCACAGGCATTTCTGCACAAAGCAAGGTGACATCTATTGCTTCCAAAACTAGCATGAATGCAACCTTACAGGTAAAGCAAACAAAAAAGTTTGACATCAATATAAATATGGCAACAAGTCAGCTCTATTCAGATGTGCCCATTTCTTCTTTTTTTTAAAAAAAAAAATTGGAAATCAGCAACTGGGTAGCCTCGATCAAAGGTGAGGCCAGACTGCAAGTGAAGTAAAAGAAAGAGAAGGATAAAGAATCCTACGTTTCTTTTCTTCATGCCTTTTCCGCCTCCAGTTCTCAGTGACTCTTCGCTTTTCTCTTTGTTTGTCTATGTTCACACAGACCTGAAAAGTGCAAAGAAATATCTAGCACATAAGAACAGGACACTAAAAGATATGAAAAAGAGCAACTAATCAAAGAAACGCATCCACAAATATTCAAACTTAGTTTTTACCCACAAAGAACATAAATTATATCTACAGATAACATCTTCTTTCCTAGCATTAAGATGATTATGCAGGAAGATTAATGCATCTATGCTTTCTGTTTTTGATAAAAATGAAAGACTCGATCACCACAAACAGAATTTACGTATCCCTGGAGAAATCTCATTTAAACATACCTCTTGCCCAGAATTTTGAAGTGCTTGCAAGGGTTCAACACGATCCTGACCAATAACAACAAACCCAGATCCTTTATTCTCACTCTTGCTGCTATTGTTGCTTGCATTTCTCCTGGCCAACTCTTCTAGTTGCTTCTGAAGTAAGGGTGAGACACCAGCCTGGTCAAGTGAAGGAGAAAAAAAAAGGATTATAGTGATTATAGTGCCAGTTTTTTTATATCAATAATGTTTACATAAATTTGTACTCTATGTCAGGGAACTAACCCCAGCCAAATAGCGGCGAGAGAAAGTCTTAGGCTGCAATGGACGTTGCAAGAGATCACTCAATTCCTAAAATTCAAAGGAAAATGAGCTCAAACAAGGGCCAAAAAGATGGAGGAATATTTAAAAAAATCATGAACACTTTCCCTGAAATTTATAACCCTACTAAAGTACTAATTTCTTTTGAAGTACTCAAACCTGTTGAAGCTTTTGGAGATGTTGAGAAGTTGCCTTTCGTTTCTTGTGTCCCTGCACACGTTCTTCTTCACTCTCACTAGCGTCCAAAATCAATCCCATGGATTCAGCATTTCTTTGAAGCCAGGATTTGTTAGCATTATCCTAAAAAGCACACAAGAAGGTCAGAAGATAAACAAGTATAGTTTGAATTAATCCAGCATCAGCAGTATGAATGATTTAAGAAAATGCATGAAAGCTCGCAAACAGGAGGGCTTGCCTGTGAAGTTTTACGTGCAATCTTGTCAATCTGCCGAGCAAGTGAGAGCCTATTCATTACTCCAGACATGTAACTATGATCTACAGGAAACTGCTGGAGATTCTCCTGTGATATTCAATCAACGGTTATGAACTCCCCGAGTTATCAACAAAAACGACAAAAAAACACTGACATATCTAAAGCATGGACCAAAAGCTAGAAAAAGTGTAAGTGCATTGGTACTTAGTTATCTCACTAGGAGGAAAATAGACACATAGCTGTTATGATAATAAAAAAATAAATACCGCATCCACAAACATCTTATGGCAAGTCATGATAATCTTTGAACACCAAGTACTATACAAAAAGTTGAACACAAAGTAGATTGACTTCACGCCAAGCAGTAGTTCATTGCAGCTTGATGATGACAAGGCAACCAAAAAGCAAAAAACATGACGCCTAAGGAGGAAAAGAAAGCTATTGAGATATAAAGCAGCAGCATGAAAGAAACCTTAAAAAGGGCGTACCCAGTGCAGAGAGCTCCCGCTCTGTGTGGGGGTCTGGGGAAGGGTGTTAGTGGCAAGCCTTACCCTCGCCTGTGCAATGCGAGGAGATCGCGACTCGAACCCGGGACCTTCCGGTCACAGGCGGTAAGACTCTACCGCTTGCACCAGGCCCGCCCTTCAGCATGAAAGAAACCTTACCTTTGACAAAGACTTGCAAAGAGAATAAAACTTGGACTTGTCAGTAGGAGAGATTAACGCAATGCTGCAGCCAGCCAATGACTTACGTGCTGTCCTTCCACTTCTGTGGATATAAACCTTAGGAAGAAAAAAATTAATTAAAAAACTCGTATATCGTAGAGAAGTGTAGACTCAAGAAATAAACAAATCACCTACATCAGTTGAGTGTGGCAACTGATAATGGATAACTGTTCGCACATCATCAAAATCCATACCCCTTGCAAAACCATCAGTTGCGACCAAAATGGAATTTTCACTTCCACGGAAGCGATCCACAGCCTAATTGACCACAAAAGAAATCAATCAATGGAATGCCATTGACAAAACCATGAGATCTAAAAACAATGGAATGTGTCTCTCATAATAAAAGAAGACATAATTTACATCGAAGTAAAGAACAGTTACATGAAATGCACTCCAATAAATTTTAAATTCAGATATATAGTGTAAATATGAAATAGGACTAATCTCGAAACATTCAGATTCTGTAGAAACTAGACAATTTCACTGCTTAGCAAATATCAGATATCAAAAGAATAGACACTCGTGTGAAAAAAACACACCTTCATGCGAGCTCTTTGTTGCATTTGAGCATGGTTTGTCAATACATTAATTCCAAGAATGCGCAATATAGAAGAAATGTGACGTAACGCGGCGATTGATGTACAAAATATTATTGTGCGACCTTGCCCGTGAACACTCAATATATAATACAGATAGGCATCCTTATCCTCTTCACTGCACCTGTAAAATACAAACAAAATAATATGTCAGTGTGTAAAAGCTGTCAAGTATAGGCTTTTGCATCGAAAGTATAAACAAACTAGAGCCAAGTTTATAGCCAAGATGTAAAGGAATTTGTAAGACAGAAGTCATACTCAATAAAAGATTCTTCAAGCTTCTCAGGCAAGATTGAAGCCTTTGTCAAATCAACTATTTCAGCATTGGGTTTCATTCCAGCTTGTTTTGACAATGCTTCAATAGAGCTTACATCATCAGGCGTCGATGCCTTCGAAGTAGATAGGCCGCGCTTCAACTTCTTCCGAAAATTAGATGAAAGTGCAAGTGTGGCTGAGAACACAAAGGTTTGCCGCTTCTTTATTTGCAAAATTGGTACAGTCTCACAGTTTGGCATGTTTTTTGCAGCTTGGTCATCAGAACCATTGGTCAGTGGAAGCATCTCAATGATAGATTGTAATTCACGGAAATGGCCTCGTTCGATCATTCTATCAGCCTCATCCAAGACGAAGAATGACAATGAATGCAGCTGAGGCATATGAAATGCATTGTGACACGTCAACATAAATAACCAGAACATGGCAATCACAAAGTGCAAGGTTAAATTTAATTTATATAGAAAACTATGCTCTACTTTATTCTCTGTCAAAATATGAGACACTGCTTAGAGCTCAAATTCTCAATATAAGAAGCAAGCAAATGTACTAAAACGAACTTGTAATGGATATGCTTTATGTTCAATCAGAGACCAGAAGACTACATAAGGCTTAGTTGATTCCATACTGAAAATGACATGTGGCTTTAAGTTAGTTATTTGTGAGGAAAGAAAACGAAAAATCTGTGTGTAAAATGCATATTAAAAACAAATATCAAAATTTTCATAAATATATACATCAAATAGGGCAGACAAGAAAGGAGTGAGAAGTTTATATACATGATGTACTGACCTCAACTAGGTGTTGATTGTTCATCGACATGTGCTCCCACAATCTTCCAGGAGTTCCAACAACAATTTCAGGCTTCTTTTTCAAAAGCCGCTCTTGCTTTTCCATGGATAGACCACCAACAATTGGAACAACATGGATTCCTAAGAACTTGGCTGCATCTTTTAGATGATCGCATACCTGTATATACAAAGTTGTATGACATCCAGGATATACGCTAACGTGTTCTTCGGCAGGAAGTTAGGTAACAGCTTTACAGAACGTAACACTTCATCAACAACTCAGATCCACACTACATGTTGAGTGGACCACACACTCCCAACAACCTACTTACACTTTTGTCCTCACTTCACGTAAAAGGGTTAACCTGGGGTTGGTGGTATGGACACTAGAAGCTTTATACGTTGGTTTAACCCACCAACTGACCCAAAACAACCAAGGTGGGACCAAACTCCACAATATCAAGTCAACACACACATGGGCCTAATTCAAACTAGGCAAGTATGTCACAAAAAAGATCATCTAGGAACCAATAATAAACAAGACGACCTACTGAAAAGCAGAATTTAATAAACTCACGACACTAAGGGCATCAGGAGAGGGGTTACAGTTGATGTGTACACTGGACTATTTGGCTATTCCTTTACCTGTTTGGCAAGCTCCCTGGTGGGTGTCAGAATAAGAGCACGAAGAGGACTTCCACCAGAATGTTTCTCCATTTTCTCGTCTTCCTGGTGCAATCTTGTGGCCTTTTCTCGCTCTTCAAGGAGACGTTGCAGAATTGGGAGGGCAAAAGCAAGTGTCTTTCCGGAACCTGTCTCTGCCGCACCGATAACATCCTGTTGCAAAGTAAATGTCAGCACACTCAAGACTTTTAAGGTTTACGGCAGAAGTTTAGAGCTTAGGATTATTAAACTCAACAAGGGACCAAATTAACAAAGTTAAAAGAATACAAACATTTAGATGACATGCTTTGAAACAAAGAATCATAAAAAAAAAGTTCAAAGTTTAAGTAAAGTAGGTTATCAAGTTAAACAGTTACAATAAATCCCTAACCGATCAAACTTGTATCATTATATTCATTCATTCTCAATATGTTGGCCAATCTTCGGCCAATGGACAATTTGACATACCTTTCCTTGATGAGCTGCTGCAGGAAAGCAATACTTTTGTATAGGTGTTGGCTCTTTGAATCCAAGTCTGCGCATCGCCTTGAGAAGCAGAGGGTGAAGCCTAAGCTCACGCCATGCAGAAACATCATCCTCGCCCAAAATCAGCTTATCATCCTTATCTTGTTCCATATTCTCAGTGTCATCTTGCATGTCTGCAGGGGTGAAATATAAACATCAGTGTGAAGTAAACTCCCGTGCTGACCACATCAATTTTGCAACGCTAGGTACTGCATATCAAAACCAAATAAATACCATAGTGACGCTTTACAAGTGCAGTGCCTCGAAATAACAATCTAGTGTGTATAATCACCTTCTGCATTGTCACTAGCGACATCCTCATCACTCTCCCTGGTCGTCTCATTATCCTTCACCTTCCTCTTCTTCCTGTTCCTCTTTCGCTTTCCCTTCTTCTCCCCTTTCTCCTCATCATCGACCTTTTTCTCCGCTTTCTCGCCATCCACCTGCTCATTCTCAACTACCAAAGCACCGTCGGCATTGAAGCCCTCGTCATCACCCCCACGCTTCCGCTTCTTCGTTTTCTTCTTCTTCTTCGCATGATCCTTCCCTTCTTCCTCGACGCCTTCACCTACGTCATCCAAGACGCTTCCGAAGATGCCGAAATCTGCCTCATCGATCTCCTCCAAATCCAGAAACCCTGAACCAAAGCCCCAGCTCGCCGCATCAGTGACCACACGGAGAAATCCAGCGAAGGAGATACAGATCAAAGAACGCGCAATCCTGGCATTAATTACCTCCTTCCTTTCCGCCGGCAAGGACGAGGAAGGGGTCCTCAGCCACGGTGCTGGCGCCTGAGAACCCGTCGGTGTCGGCGGCGGCGGCGGCTCGCTTCGGTTGCTTCTTGGAGCGATTCTTCTTGTTCTTTTTCTTAGTCCTTCCGCTGCCTTCCTGCGGCGGAGTGGTAGGTTCCGACGACACCTGCGGCGGATGCTCGGGCTCGGCCATCGGCGGCGGAGCGGGCGGAGGCGGCCGCAGTTGGGGAGGAGAAGAAAGATGCGAGGGTTTTAGTTTTGGATGGGCCCTTTTCACAAATCGAAGGCCTGTTTGAGTCCAGCCGCCACTCGGGCCGGCCTGCCTCGACCAAGACGATCCATGAATGATCCAACGGCCGTTTCTCAAAAAAAAAATGTATGATCCAACGGCCACGGAACGCCACACTTGGCGGCCCCGCGCTCCCCGTGAATCGACCAAAAAGTGCCCCCGCCCCGCCCGCACGCACGGAGCGCTGCGAGGCGGATCCGCCGTCACACAGGGACAGCTACCACCAAGTCTACTCACTCCCACCGACGTGTAGGCCCATACTTTCCTACTTTGATAGACCCCACTCGTCATCCGCCTTTCCACGACATCGTGCCCGATCACTTCACGACGGCTGAAAAAGAGGCTTCGAATCCCACCAAGCGAAACGCGACTGAAAAGCAGAAACAGAATGCAGTGAAAGGGGGCTGCCATTTTAAAACCTTGCTCTCCTTCTCCACTCGATCCCCAACCCACCCGCACGGCGCAGCACCACCAATCCATCCATCCTTCCGCATTCGCCACCCTCCCCGTCGTCGAGTCCCCGCGAACCCTAGACCTCAGCCCTCGCACCTCCGCTCCGTCGCCGCGGGGGACTCCCTCGACTCGCCCGGCGGCACGTCCCCGATCCGAGCTCTCTTCGCCTTAGGGTTTTTGGGGCCGGGCATGGACCCCATGGAGCAGCCGGAGCCCGAAATCGCGGGCCACTACTACGCCCTTCAGGTGAGCGGGCGCGGCTGGATCTCGATGGGTGGGGCAATGCTGGGGTTTGTGGTTTTAGGCCGGTTTTTTTGACGCCTCACGCGTGCTTGTTTTTTGTTTGCGGGGCAGGTGGGCTCCTACTTCCTGACGGGCTACTACAACGTCCTGACGAACCAGTCGCACCTGGCGAGCCAGTTCTACACGGACAACAGCAGCGTTGTCAGACTGGACTGCGAGACGGGCCGGTGGTCTTTTGGAGAGACGGTGGAGGTATAACCGTATAATCCCGATCTCGTTTTGTTTTTCTGCTGTTTTTCCCCCTCCCTGGCGTTGGTGGATTATCCTCGTTTTGTGATATATACCTAGTACAGGTATTCAAGTGCTTATATGTTTGTTCCCTATATTTGAATTTTCGACGCGATCATGTGTTAGAAGGTTTTGTTTTATGGACTGGCTTGATGGTAATTTATGTCTGCTTTGCTATATGTTGAGATTGTTGCATCTGTCATGCTGTTGAGATTGTTGCGTCTGGGAACATGCTGCTGCTCTGCTTTTTTTTTATAAGAATTAGTACTGGGAAAGTTAGGAAATCCAGTTATTTTTTGAAGGTCTCTGATTCCAGGTTTATTTTTCTTTTGTCTATTCATAGGGATCTTGTATGGTGTTGTTGGATTGCACATGTTACCTGGTCGTTCATCAGTTCTGTTTGATGCAAAAAGAATAGTGTTAAAGGGCAAATAAAGTGAACGAATTGGCTGCTATTTGTTCTCTTAATGAAAACATGTAGGAATATACTTTTTTGTTAGTTATATCTTGGTAAGAGAATATGCTATGTCTATCTTTTAACTTGAAGGGACCAGGACATGAAACCTGATCTAGCCACCACAATTTTCTGTTCTTCCGCTAGAGCACGATGTTGTTTTGTCATCCAAACTCTGATGAGCCATATTTTCATATTGGCTTTAGCCATTTACTTATAAATAATTGCTATTTACTTTTACAGGTTATCAATGATATGATGATGTCCATGAATGTAAGCAAGGTTGAGGTTAAAACAGCGAATTTCTTAGAGTCATGGGGTGGAGCGATTACACTGTTGGTTACTGGCCTAGTGCAATTGAAGGGCTACCCTGTTCGCAAGCGATTTGCTCAGAATATTGTTCTTGCTCCAAAGAAAGATGGATATTTTATATTCAGCGACATCTTTAAGCTCATCTGTGATGAGTATGATGATCAGTACCCTGTTGCTGATTACAGTTGTGCTGACAACATGCCCCAAGTGGATGCGTCTTACACAATGGCTGAAACAGGTATCTCTTTCAATGGTATTGAAGTTATTATATACATTTAAACAACTAGTTGTTTCATGAACTTTCCTATGGCTTTGTGACATCATGTGTTACATGCTAATAAGTACATATTGGAACTGGACCTCTTTTGCAAAGTTTTTTTGTACTGCTTTTTGTTTGATCTGTGGACAATAGAATTCATATAACGACTGACAAGGTCACCAGATAATTTTCATGTCTTATGCCACGTATTTCTGGTTTTTCTTGATCCCTTTCTCGTTCCTATTTAAGTTTGATGAATTAAGTTTCTGGATCCATTTAAATTCCTAGATAGTTAATGGCATGCCTTCATATTGTGATTCAGTGAAAATCTGTATAAAAATCACAGGTATGCCTATCATTACACTGAGATTCTTTTTGTTGCATAATTCACCAGGGTCTGATTATTTGGATGGAGAACCTGAGGTGCAGGAGACTGTTGCTCCTGCTGAAAATCATGTGCAGCACCAAGATCCTTTGGAATATAAGGCTGGCAATGTGATTTATGATGAAACTCATCCAGAAGAGCATATTCCCTCATTCCTAAGTTCAACAGACATGAAAAGGGATTCACCTATTGCTCCTCCCCACCCTCCTTCATCGCCTACCCTTGAAGAACCTGTGGAAGAAGCACCCAAGACATATGCTTCAGTGGTAAGCAAATACATGTTATAGTTAAGCTTAACTCCTAGTTTCTGCTTTTCTTGATTGCTTGCATTGGTATCAGTTGCGAAGAAACGTGAAGGCAACGATGGCGACTGGAGAGACACAGCAGGCTCAACAGTTAGCCCCACAGGCGCAGTCTGCCCCAGTGCATGAAAAGTCTAACTTGGACAACCACCGGGCTGTTAGCACCCCTGAGGATGAAGGTTTTTTTTTTCTTTTGTGCACTATTTCACTCATGCTTCTGATGAATTTTATTTGACCTGTGTTTAAACTGTCTTGTCATTAAAACAATTTATAGGTAATCAACATTGCTAAAAATCAATTCGATCCTTGTGCGTCTGAACTGGTCTTGTTAACTGTTTATTTGGTTTTTGTTCAAATCTTCCAGTTTTAGATTTGAGCTTGATTACCTTTTCAAGGCCTTCTTGGATGGTCGAAAGTTGGACCCAAATCTTTGACTATGTAAAAGAACTCCAAATCGACCCCCTTATATAAGTTCCTCTTAGGATAATTTAAATTGAAATCAATGATCTTTACTGAACCCCTTTTAAATTGTCATTGTATCAGTTTTGTAAATAGTGATTCTTAAGTGGGGGCTCTTGTTAGGATGCCCAAACTCCTGTTTACTTCTTTTGCACTGTTATTTTCTTCTCAATATGTGTAACTATGTAAGAGCTGCAGCGTCATCATGAATCCCCTAGCTTTATCTTGTTGCTTATTTGAAGAGTTATTTGGTAGCTATAATCCTGTGTGTGTGTCCAGGTTCATTTTATTTAGGTGCAGTCTTGAGTCTTTAATACTAGCAGACTTTTAGCTAGTAGTTAAGGAGAATAATAGGCAATCATTGTAGCTATGACTGCATCAATTAGGAGGATTTCATGGGCAGGTGTATAGCCCTATATCATCTATATAATGGTGATTGCTTGTGTGGCTGCATGAACCAAATACTTCTGCTGTTTATACTTGTGTGTGTCCACCAGAGAAACAAAGAACTAGTGTGTGTTTCGTTTGTGATAAACACTCAAGAGAGGGAGTGATTTCCAACATTATCGATTAGCATCTCATCTTTACTAAAGCATGCTGCTAGTTGTAGGATGTACTTGACTCAGAATTTATTGTTTATTAACCACTCTTTTTGTGAATTATCCTTCTTGAAGCATTATGGTAGTATTGTTAGGCTGTGCCATAGTTTTTTCTTCATTAAAAGTTTGCATGCCCCTTACAGACTTGCATGCTACAGCTCTAAATTGTTAGTGTATCTGTCAAGGCCCTGCCTTCATGCAACAGAATTTCTGTCGTGGTCAAAGGTTCTTTATGTTTGTAACTTTGTATGTACACCATACATGACTGAATTGTATACCTAATATGAGGCAGTGCGTGTTAAAATCTCTAGTGTCTAATCCACAATCATTTGTACCTTTTTGGCTATGTTGTGTCCATTTCTTTTTTTTTATCTATAATATATATGCACAATTATGCCCACAAAATGTTTTTGGACATAGATAGATCCATTCTCTTTGTACATTTTTATGTAGCCTTAACTGTTGGTTTTATTTTTCAGAAGAGTTTCTTTCGGTTTATGTTGGGAATCTTTCGCCATCTACTTCGGTCTTTGATCTTGAGAAAGTGTTCCAGGCTTTTGGAAGAATCAAACCCGATGGAGTTGCTATCCGAAGCCGCAAGGTTTTGCCTTTTATTAAATGCTTTGATGTTTACTTTTCTTCATTATTGCCTTCCTAATTCATCTACTGATATGCAGGAGGCTGGAGTCTTCTTTGGCTTTGTTGAGTTCGAAGACATGTCTGGCATTCAGAATGCTTTAAGTGTAAGTTTCCCTTAGCATGTAGTCGTCTGTAATCTGCAATGTATCATAATCAATACATCTAGGTCACAGTCAGAAAACCTACTTAAAAGGAATTTAATGAATGTGGAATCGCTTAGTAATGAACTATTTGGCATAGTAGTTTTTGCCTACTCTAAGCATAATGGACGGCACACCAACCATATTCTGCCAAAGTAGAAACATACACCACTGCAGGTCTTTAATAATTTTAAAATATAAAAAGAGATATAGATTGATATTTCAATGAAATTTCTACTGCTATAGTGAGTCCCATGTGTTCACAAAATCTACCAGGTGACGTTTGAGTGACCACTGCATTGCATGTTTTTTATATACAAATGTAATTCATGCATTTCCACCCATAAGACACAGTTAGATATTCACAGGAGAAAGAAAAAAACTATACCGTGTACATCATGCCACAGTTTACCATAATGCTGTCTTATCTGGTCAATTTTTTGTACATCAGGCATCTCCAATAGAGTTAAATGGCCGTTTTGTACATGTTGAAGAGAGGAGGGCTAACTGCGGATTCCCTCGTGGAAGTAAGTATCCACTCAGGACCATCTCCATATGATTATGCAGACTTTCTTCAACCATCCTTGTCCCAGTAGTTGGCATAGAACGTTCTGTATTGATAGTCTAAGACAGGCATGAAAATCCGGGTTACTTTAACTGAATTTGGGCTTGCTATTAGACTGGTTATCAACTAGAGGAGGTATGCTTGACTTATATCCAATGTGATAATCATTTCCCTACATTAGCTGCAACCAAAAGAAAAAAAAAAAGAGTTCACTAATTGTCTCTGGTTCCTGTGTTTATTCTTTTATTAGGGTTGGTAATAATAATTGTAATTCCTTGCTCTGCAGGAAGAGGCCGCGGAAGAACTGATTTCTCAAGGGACCAAGCTGGTGGGAGATACGACGGGGAGTATGTTACTCGATCGAAGGGAACTGGCCACCAGAAAAAATCTGGACGCCAGTATGACAGTTACTACTAGTTTCGTACCTGCTCTGCTGGTAAATGGCCGTGTACCATTGGCGTTCTCTACCTGGTACTGTTCTGGCCATAGTTTTGCTGAAAGTCACAATGATGTCGAGACTAGTATTTCTGCTTTGCTGACATTGGGCCTTTTTTGGGGATGGGCTTCTGTTACCATTTTGTTGCGTCACAGTAGTTTTTGGTCCTCAGCTACCGTGATGGTACCATTGGAGTGAAGTTTTGGAACGTCAAACTTTTTAAGTAATTCTTAGGTTGTACCGATGTTAATAGTTGGTCTTCTTATATTGGCATAGTCTGCATACTTCGTACTATTCACTTGGTGGCGTATTTTCATACCGATGTTAATAGTTGGTCTTCGTACTATACTTGTTACTGCTGGTGGTGCGGGGAGTGTTGTTGCAACGTTGACCAACCAGATAAAAGCTTACAGTAATGGGGACTTGGCTTACAGGAAAGCTCAGGGTTACTCTGGCTAATCCCATGGCGTCGGTGAAGGTTGTCTAACAGAATAACAGATTGGTGGCAAAGAAGAGGTGATTTCTAGACTATCGGTATGGTCATGCGGTCTATTTTGCCAAATCCCTCACCACCGGCTATGGATGAAAGTGGTATGGATAATCCTCCGTCCGATCCGCTTGATCCGCTTGATGCGGATAATCCGAATCCGATTGTATGCGGATGCGTTGTAGGATACGGGATTGGCGAAATCTAGCGGATATGGATTAACCCGATAATTAAACGTGAATTATCCGACGCTTAAAATAGGATAATCCGAATATTTCAAGAAACCCAAGCGGCAAGAATATAAGTCGGCCCAACCTATTATTATATTGTAGCCCACAAGCAAAGCTCGTCAACTATATATACTAATTTAAGTATTTTTTTCACACTACATGGAATGGTAATCATGTGATGGAAGGCGAAGTTTTGCTTAATTAAGAATATTTATTTCTTTTATATGCTTGTTTTATACTATTAAATACAAACTGAGAACTTGTTATTAATTTTGTGAGCTCCTAAATCGAAGTGGTGGATTGGCGGTGATTATTTCGAGTTGTATTGCCGCTTTATGACTTTGGCTAATGAATTAATTGTTTCTCATCATAAAAAACATGTAAGCAGAAATTATCCGACTTAAAAAGAAGTCTGCGTCGCTTCGACATTGGTCCAAATCCGTACAATTTTCGATATCTAAAAAATCCATATTCGCATATGAATCCGTATAATATCCGATCCGCTCCGAATCTAATAAAAAAAAGTGGATTAGAATATTCTCAAACGTGCACTGTAGCACGTATTTCATTAAGAGGAAGCAGAGAACATCCAAACAGATACACGACGTAGCTACGAGAGAACCCTCGTAGCACAGGTTATAAACCACGAAGCAACACATAGTTGACACAGAGGAGTCGCAAGTAATCCCAAGATTACCGACGTGAACCCAAGACAACGATTTAACACAAAGAAGAAAACAAGAGAAAAAAAACCGAAACTAAGCTATGCTCGCTACAAGAGATACATCCGCACAATGGTCGCCAACCGGGAGGGTCCGGCCAGCGGTGGCAAACCTCAAGCAACTGTGAAGTCGCGAGGTAGAACCGCCCGGTGACCAAGTAGCCCGCTGCGAAGGAGACAACGAGCTCCAGAGCCTCCAAATGACTGTGTAGTCGCGAGGTCAAACCGCCCGATGACTGTGTAGCCACCGCGAAGGAGACGTCGTCATCGGTGACCGTGTAGCCACCGCGAGGGAGACGTCAGAGAAAGCCTCAAGCGACCAGGTAGTCGCGAGGTCAAACCGCCATGACCGTGTAGCCACCTGCGGCGCGACGACACCAACATCCGAAATGGACGGACCAAAGTGAAGAGGAGAGAAGCACAGCAGCACAACACAAGGTAGAGCGGCTCCGGCTGCACCAAATCGGCCTCCACACCACCCACAGCATGACAGGCACCACCCTCCAAGCGGCGCCCCAAATCCGAGGGAGAGGCCCTCCGATAAACGCTTCAAGGAAGAGAACGGCGCCCAAAGGCGTCGCCGTTATCGACCCAACAAATGGGTATAGCTTTCGCCATGGCACCTCATCCCCGCCGACGAACCGTGAGAGTCAAGTGTGCCCGCTGACCGACATCGCCTCGCCACCATGACGCCGCAGATCACGCGAAAACGAAAGGAGACGACGCCATCCACGCCACCACGGCGTCAACGACGCGCACAGCCAGAAAGTAGCCGCCCACACCACCACGATGTATGACGGCAAGACACGCCATTGGCCGCACCACCCTCATCTCCATCCGCCCAGACCGCCAAACACCCCACCCTACAAGCACCGGAGTCGGAGGAGTGTTGACGCAATGAGAAGAAGACGACGGAGCTTTTTCGCCGTCTGGCGGTAGACGCGGAACCACCCAACGGCGGCTCCAACAAGCGATCTCGGGAGGCGACGCGCCGCAGCGCGTGGCAGCAGCAGCGCCGCCGCCAAAGACACCACCGCCGCACACTGGCCCCACCGGCGTGCACGCGCGTGGCGGGCGGAGCGAGTAAGGGGGGCGCCGGATTTGAGCCGGGGACACGGATCCGGTGCAATGTGGACGGATCCGGTGTGTGATGGTCGCCGCCGACCGACCTTGGCCGCACTGTAACGCGCAACCCACCGCCAAGAGGCCCTTGACGCCGCCGCCCGTGCGTCGCCGCCAGAGCCGCCAGCGCACTCGCTGCCGCGACTCCGCGCAGATCCGCCATGGGGCCGCCGGATCCGGGCGAGGGAGCAGCCCCTGCGACCATGCAGCTTCAGCCGTCGCGAGCCCAACACCGAGGAGAGGAGAGGAAGGCTGCGGGGGAAAAGAAGGGGAACACAGAAAGGGCCTCGCCGCCGCCGTCCTTGCGGCCGCACGGACTCCGGGCAGCACGCTCGAGCGGCGGCGAGGCTTGCGGAGTGGCTGGCGGAGGGGCTTCGGCGAATATGGGAAAGCCATTATCCGATCCGATCCGTTTTCATCCCTCCCACCGCCGTATGATCCCATTAGGCCATTAGTAGCTGCTAGCTCCCAACACTATCTGCGCCAGTACCTGCAGGCTACCGAGTTCATATCGTTCACTTCGCAATGCGGCTTCATTCGTGATGCCAGTTTACCTGTCATTCAAATGGACGTGCTATCGGCGCCGGTACCTGCAGGCTACTGAGTTCATTATCGTTCAAGCTTCAACCATGATGCTATATGCGCCGGTACCTGCAGGCTACCGAGTTCACTATCGTTCAAGCTTCATCCATGATGTCAGTTTACCTGGCATTCAACTGGACGTCTTGCAGAGACGCAGAAATGAGAGGCCCTGTGGATGTGATTCTCTGACCACCAGCCAAGCGGTCATCCTCCGTTGCCTAAACTCCAAACTCCAAAGGCAGCACAATATGAGAGGCCAAGACGTTGTCTTTGGACAGAAGTGTTTCTATTGTCAAGAATGTCAACCAAACGGTACAACTGAAAGCCGCTTTTTCAGAGCTACGTTCGCGTCGTATAATTTTCATAGCACTGTAGACCCTACTTTTGATTTTTGGCTTTTAGCTTTTAGCTTTTCCAAGTAGATGGAAAGAGAGACTCTACAACTGTTTCAAAGGAGATAAAAAGAAGATAAAAAGAGAAGGTAATTTTTATAGTTTTTAAACCGAATAGCTTATAACTTATTTAGGAATATAGCTTGTAAAAGCTTTTCCACGTCTCATTGCTCGCAAGAAGCTAAACTAAACAAACTAAACAGAGCTTGTATACAACTTTACATGGCTAGCTTGTCGCCTTCAAATGCTCCAAATGCTGTCTTTATTCATTTTGCCGACTCGTTCAAACGTTATGCATGTGACACCACATCGCTAGCACGCCTGCACTTTCCGAGTGGAAGGATCAGACGGCCGCAGACGCCAGCTCCATCGCTTGCCCTGTTCCCGCGGCGCGCTCCGGTGCCGCCGCTCCACCCGTGCCTTTGTCTCCGCAGTCGTCGTCATCGTCCTGCTCCCACAAGAAGCTCGCGTACGCAGCGAGGACATGGCTGCAAGAGTGACAAACCAACGTTAGGTACCCCTCGAGTTCAGGAACAGGAAAATCGAAATGTTCATGTATGTCCACTAGAGTCCAAACTGAGAGGCTTACCTGTTCTGTGGTGCAGCCTGCACCGACATTTGGAAGTAGCCGAGGCATCTCTCCGGGTCGTGGTGCACCTCCCAGACCAGCTTGGCGTACTGCGACATGATCTCGCCGTCGCTGGGATCCGCGAGCATGGCGCGCGAGTAGTACTCCTCGGCCCTTCTGGTGTCGCCCTTCACCTGCAGGCAGCACCAGCAGCAGCAGCAGCAGCAAAGGGTTGGTTCAATCAAGTTAAACATCTCACTGCAGAGTACAGACACACATGACATCTTTCTTGGCAAAAATGAATATACCTCGTGGAGGAACTGCGCGTAGTTGCGCAGGAACAACGCGTTGCCAGGCTGCTCGTCGACCATCGTCTTGTACTGCGCGTCCAGCGCGGCCACCGCCTCGTCCTGCTCCTCCACGCGCTCCATGTTGGCTCGTCCGCAGCCGGTCTCGTCGTCGGCGCCGGCGGTGAAGAACCCGGAGGCGATGCGGTCGATCCCGAGGCCCCTCGCCAGGAACAGCGGCACCTCCGGGTGCTCCGGCTGCACCACCGTCGGCTGCTGCTGACCCCCTTCCTCCTCCTGCTCCTGCTGAGCCGCCGGTCCCTGGGACGACGACGGCGACGACGACGCCAGCGGTGCTGCTACGACCTCGCCCTTGCCGAAGGTGTTGTAGATGGAGAAGGAGAGCTCCGTGTGCAGCTGACCGCCGCCGGGGGTGCTGCTGCAGGCGTCGTTGGGGGTGGACGACGGGTGGAGGGAGGGGAGGTGGCCGTCGGAGAAGGCGCGCCGGAGGTGCAGGAAGGAGCGGCGGGACGACGGGGAAGAGGAGGAGAAGAAGGGATGGTGCAGGAATGGCGTGGACGAGCTCCTCAGCAACATCCTCCGATCGAGAGCCGTCTCGGCTTCTCTGTTCTCAGAGAGAGGAAAAGGCGGGGGAGGCTTCTTCCTCGAGATCTGACCTCTCGTGTCTTGATTTATATATCATCGTGACATGGAACCCGCAGCAGGCCACTTGGCTGTATGGATCGACCGGTCGGCACTCGGCAGGCTATTCGTTCTTTGACGAGCTAACGCGTTCTCGCCTGGGTGCATTGCATGTGACTCGTTGTCGATTTTGCAAAAAAAAGAAAAGGAGCTCGAGATCGATGACCCACGATGATAAGGATAACAACCTCTTCTCTTCGAATGCAAGACGCGTGTGATTCATGCAACCACGCCCGCTGGCCGCCGCTTAAGGGTAATGGGCTAGCTACGACTAGAGGCCGGCCTCTATCATTTGTCAACCGCATTTGGCCTGTAAGTCTGTAACGTACGCGGTCTTTATCGACAACCGCGAGCACCTCGTGGGCTGCCATGCTAGCTCTAGATGCACGTCGGCGTCCGGGTTTAATGTACCTCACGTGCGCGCCGCTGACCCTGCGCTGCGGCGGCCACGACTTCTGGCGAGCCAAAAATTAAAATTAAACTGCCATGCCGTGTGACACCGAGTTCTCTAACCGCTCATACGGTTGCCGGAATCACGTTATCACAGTAGTTGGAGTCTTTTGTGAATTGTGAACCACCTTTCCTTTTCCTACCGTACCGTCGCCGGGCAGCGACGACTCTAAAGACCCGAGACCGGGACCGGCGGCAGCAAAGCTCCAACCCGCCACCGTGTAGGTCTGTAGGCTGTAGCAGCGACGAGCCGGGCGGGCCTGCATGATGTTTCGGCCATTTCCTTAGTGCAGGTAGCTGTTCTCACGGGTCCGTTGGCTTTGTGCCCGCGCCGCCCCCGGACGTTGCTCGCGCCACCTTGGTCGTCGCCCCCACCGTTAGTCGCTTCCCAGTTTTCACGCGCATCACATGTGCAACCCCTGATCTATTTTTGAAACATCCGGATGCAACAGTTGCAACATACAAAGAAGACAGATGAAACACTTGAAGCATACGTCTGAAACACATGCAAAAACACCTAAAACACTTGAAAATCATTGCAAATATTCAGATGAAGCACTTGCAACAGACTTATGAAACATCTGAAACCACTTGAAAAATGTCCAGATGAAAATACTTACAACATACGTCCAATACAGATAATACAGATTAAACATTTGGAACATACACTTGAAACATACATGTATAGCAATTGCAACAAGTGCAACATCCCGATCTACTTTGGAACATTCCGATCTACTTTTGCAACATCGATACGAAACACTTGCAACATACCTCTGAAACATCTAAAGCACCTGAAACATATGTTTGCAACGTGTGTTTTTCCCCCTTCTTCTTCGGTGCTACGCAGAGCAGAGCAGGGAACGGTTGGGTCCGGCCAACGGGCGGCAAAGGATGGTGGGGCGTCCTGGGTCCGGCCAGCGATAGCCTTTTCTCTTTGCTGCCTAGCTTGGGCACGGCGGACGATGGGGCACGGCATGGCGCGGTGGGGGACGGAGGCGCCGCGGGAGATGGGGGCGCTGCGAGGGGTGGCAACGGCAGTGCGCCAGAGTGTGGCGCAGCACGGGATGGAGGCGCCGCAAGGGATGGCGGCAGCAGCGCGGCAGAGTCGGTTGGGCCGACACAACCATGAAGCCGCGACGGCCGAAGCAAGTGGAGAATTTCTATTGTGCTTAGTAGAGAGATCAATAGAGTATATAGGGGAGCAGACCGGTTGCATCTTAGGCCAGACTGCTGCACAGGTCTAGGAAACGCGACGTCTGGACGAACGGACACCCAGTCGTGAGCATTATCGTTATTTTGTAGCTCTTGTATCAAACAGACCCTAAATCTGTGACAAGTCATAGCTTTTCAAGCAGTCCTCACTGCGGACTACTACAGCGCAGCTACGACCAACGGGGCATCTGCAAGACAGCAAGAGACATGCCCGCAGACATCTAAGAGGAGAAAACAAGGTGATTTCCAGATCAAAACATACCATTCAAATAATCAAATTCCACACAAAACACATGCATATCAATGAACCATCGTAAAACCGTTCTTGATGTACGGCAGACATGGGAACGGCAGGTCCAGCGCACGCTCCACCGTGTCAGATTTCGACAGAAGCTTGCCAAGGACGAAATCCCTGTGGCTCAGCCCCAGGCGTGCGCCGCTCGCTATCCCCTTGTCGCGGCAGGCAACGAGAGTGATGTTGCAGAGCCACGGGACGGCGGCCGTGAAGGCCAGCCCGAAGTGCTTCTTGTAAGCCCTGCAGACCTGGGAGACGTGCCTGCCCATGGGAAGCATGCTCTGGGAATCGGCGTTGCCTTCTGCCTCGGAGGCTGGCAGCTCCGAATCAGAGTGCAAGTTCACGACCACGGTGCCGTGGATGGGGTGCACTTTCTTCTCTAGGTTCTTCATGAATGCCCCGTCGACGTCCCAGAGCTTGCGAGGAAATACGTCGTCTCCGTCGTAGGCATCGATGAAGACAATGTCATATTCGTTGCTGTCGTTGGCAATGAAATCCTCAGCGTCTGCTATGTGCAGGAAAATGCGGTCATGTATGCCTCCCCATAGTAGATCATCGGCGTCGGCAGGCAGCATGGACTCGTCGGACGATAAGCCTTTAACAGATGACATGGGGAAACCCATGGATTCAATTGAAGCCGAAACAACCACTGGATCAATTTCCACAATGTGGATGGTAGCACCTGAAAGAGCCAAATTGTGAATCAGGCATTATAATGAAGCGGAGACCTAAAATATCTACAGGTGTATCTGCACAACACATAATACCTTAGAACAAAAGAAATCCTAAGTGATTTGACTTCAAGCAGTCTGACACAGGCGATGCACTTTTTTCAGTCAATCGACTATTCAAGTGTAATTTAGTAGTAATTCTGAAGTTCAACGCATCAGGTATCAAGATACAAGTCAACCAACTAAGACAGGAAAAATTCACTTCATCACGATCCACAGGAAAGGAAGCATAAGCAAGTAAGAAATTGCAGTAAAACCCTAATGCTGGAAAGATTTCACTTTACTACAGTATGCAGCAAACAAAGTAGTATCAGCAAGTGGGAAGTTGCACTGCAAGTGTATCGATACTATGAATATAGCTGAAGTTTGTGATAGTGTTTACCTCTGAACTTGCTAGCCAAAAACAATGGTAAGGTGCCGCCACCATGGCCGATGCACAGAATTTGCAGAGTGTTCTGTCCAGATGCTGCTTGTGCTAGATCATATGAAGAACAAGGAAGCGCTGTCAATCCTGCTGATACCATACTCTTGACATCTGAAAATATCAACTTTCAGAAGTGTATGATGGTGTTGAGGTAAAAGATACAGCGCAAACATCATAAACACCAATTGCATTGCATTTGCATCTGACAGCTCGGTGCATGCAAACTTACCAATAAAACATATGCAGATGCAGGTATGATAATAATTTTTTAACACTAGCAGTTAACAAATAATCAGGGAAACCATGCATGTTACTAGTATGTTTGACTGTATGACTCGTATGTAAATGGTTATGCTTATGTGTAAGAATGGCTCTTTCAAAATTGTAGATTAGCAGACATAAAAGAACAGGGGCTCTTGTGTTCTTACCCCTGTTTTGAAGTCCAATAGTGTTTTTGTTCTCATTTATTTAACTTTTTGATTTTGCTCCTGCATTTTCAAAGCGAAGGCAGAGTTTACCCTTTCTGTAAAGAGGAGTTAACGGTGTCTATTCAGCTAAAAAAAAGGACTAGTTTGCCTTACGAATCTGCCCCTAGTTTTTTTAGTACTCTGATTTTACCCTCTATTTTGACATTATATATTTGTGCATCATTCTGAAAGAATTTATACAGAAGAAATTCCAAATAGTTCAAATCTGAGCCAAGTTTAACAAGTTGCACGTGCTTAATCAACAATCGGCGGAACCAGGATGGTTAGGATAAGGTTAGGGGTAGAATTGTGTTTGAATATTTTGTTCTTTTTCTTTAATTGTTTGGCCTTCAGCTAACAGAGTCTACAACATGGGCAAACGGTGGCTTCGGATTCAAAAAATGAGAGTAAAATCACAAAGTTAGGAAAACAAGGATAAAATCACAATTGGCCTTCAAAGGGGCAAGAACACCAATCTCCCTAAATGAATAGATGAAGTTAACTAAACAAAATGAACATGCCATCATCATAATGAATGCAAGATGGTACAAGTGAACTCACAAGGAACAGCTAAAACATGTGGTTGCTGCATCAAGAATAATGATCTCTGACCCGAAGTCCTATAACATGTCATCACTTTTGCAGTGCTTTGCCGTGTATGGTCATTAAAACGCATCACTCGCCACTGGTAGCCTAGTACCTTAAACTGGTCAGAACTGGCAGATTCTGGGTATAGTCTTGCATTTCTTTCTTGAAGCCATCTCTCCGTGGCTGACCAATGCTCACTAGCCTGACACCAGATAACAAGTTGTGTTTCAATGAGTCCAGACAATAAATCGACTAAAGAAATTGAAACTAAAAAATGGTATTAAAAAGTGCAACACCCATGGTAAGTTGCACAGGAAAGCCCTAGAAAATTAGACCATCGCATTTTTTCAACAAGCATTGTGCCCTGTAAAAGAGTAGGTGAAAACCACACATTTTTTTCCTGGAACAAACAATAATCTCAAAAATAGCCAGTCTGCTGAGAGAAGAAATCTAAGTTGCTGGGTTAATAAGTACTCTTCACTTCTTCAGTATTATCTTTCCTCCCAAATTGCAAACCAAGTTATTCACTAGCTTTCAGAGCATCAGCATAGTATATTAAGAAGTGTAGCATAGGTGCTTGCACAGAGCCAAGGGAGCCCAAAATTTGTTTTAAAATTGTAATTAGTAGTAATACTAATTAGCAGCGTGGGTAGTGGCAAGCATTCATGTTTAAATCTAGGTGTTCCTATGGACACACCCAAGCATCAGCACATTAAGCACTTCCTTTACTGTCTTATGAACTCCTAAATCTCCTTGTTAAAGGAAGCTTGTCTGTGCAAATAAACTTTCTCTCAAAAGTCCCCTAGTCAACTTATCACTCAGAAGCTGTATTTAACTGTCTTCCAAAGTTATTCAGGTTATGGAAAGTACTAGCTCAAACTAAAGGGTTCACTTTGTCATTTCTGGTAAAAGAATCTCAAGCCACCTAAGAGAATCAATATGAATCTAATATTGACTATTACAAAACAAAAAGATATCAAATTACAATTTCATATATCAAATGAAAAATATTATGTCTAGTTACTACTCAATTATGATGCATGATTTGAGAAGGTCAAACTTCATATGTTTTGATCAATAATTAGTCAAGTCATATATATACACTTAGTACATACAGGCAGTGGCGGGCGCGGACCTAGGATTTGAACTCAGGGTATGCGTAGCAAAAATATCTTGCATTTAATATGGTATAATTCGATACATAATTTGAACCCAGCGAGGGCCAAGCACAAGCAGCGAGTATCAGCCAAGCGGAAGGATGATCTGGACAGAAGTACTTAACGATGTTGGACTTTTTAGTAGACCTTCAAAATCTAACAGTACTAATAATTTGACCCAAAATCTAGGGTAGGCATGGGCCAATATGATTAATATCAACAGATATGCATTTCAAATCGTTAATGAACATGGCCTATATGTTGGTACAGTTAAGTTATGTGATATGTGGTTATGGACATGGCACTCAGTTCTTTGTAATTTCGTTGCTTCGGTAATGAAATTCAGGTTTCCCGTTGTGGAAAAAAAATCTGCATTTCAAATCGTTAATATCAATTGATTTTGTAGCAACCGACAATAATGAGTTGTAAGAAAAAATAAAGATCACGATCTAATTTCGAAGACCGTATTTATACTAAGATATACTGTACAGTACTCCTACAAAATAATGGATGGGAAGAGTAACATTTCTTGAGTTAGTCATTTCGTGCAGGCCCCCTAAATTTTCAGGTAGGGTACTGCTAAACCAAGCAGGAAAAGGAGGCGGTAGCTACCGGACGGGAAGCGGGGTAGGCGGAGACGGAGACGACGCCGTTGCCGCACTCGGAGTGGCGGCGGAAGACGGTCTGCGCCCCCTCGCCGGGACCGTCCTCCTCGCCCCACCACTCCCGATAGTACGACCAGTCACCCTCGTCGAGGAGAGGCTTCCGCCGCGACCCCGCGGCGACTGGTGAAGCCTCCACCGCCGCAGACGACGACAGCCGCCGGACGGCACCGCGGGCGCACCTCGACGCCGCCGCTCGCAACATTTGCGCTACTGTGTCCCGTGACTAGGTGGCGGCGGTCAACCGGTCACCACCCACCGAGTAAAGACCATTTAACCTCCCCAATTTTTGTCCAAATCGATTTACCTCCCCCGATTGAAAGACTGTTTTTATCTCCTCTAGATTTACGTCCCTCAATTAAAAACTGTTTTTGATCTCCCTTAGATTTTAAAACCGTTCTAATTTGTTCCTATATGATTTTGGTTGACATAATGTATACAGTATCAGCTAGCATCACGTCAGCAGGATGAAGATCTTATAAAAAAAAGGAGATATCTAAAAAAATATCAAAACTATTTAAAAAAAATATGCAATTAAAAATCATAGAAGCTTTTTTTTGAACCTAAAAAATCATAGAAACTAGTGTAATATGGATAATTCTTAGAAATTTTGTTTTAGTATGATAATATAAAATTATATTTAAAGTTTTTTTTCTAAAATCATACTCTACTTATGGTAGCTATTTTTTCTAAAATCATACTCTACTTATGCAGCCTGTTCGGGAGGCCGTAAACGATCGTGTATTATTTACTGTTGGCTAGTTTGGTGTGAGAGAAAAATATTGTTCTGACTGAAAATTTACGATCGTTTACGACCAAGCGAACAGGCTGATGGTAACTAGTTTGGAATTATTTGAATTTTGAATTAAATACCATTATAAATCCACTGTTTTTGAGGTGAGCCATTGAAACTAAAGAAACTTTGATAGTGCCATTATAATTGTACCGAACTTTAAAATATGTTACTATCTACGTCCAAAGGTGACAAAGCATAGAAAGATGTATTTAGAAACCAACTCTGTCCGACTAGATTTCCTCGTAACCATCTAGAAGCTAATTAATAAATCGATCAGGACTCTATCTGTAATCATGAACCCCTGTAACTATATATGGAGGGGGTAAAAAAAGACCTCATCCCCACGAGCTCTTCCTCCATATAGCTCCACCCATATAATTGTTGCGAACTCCGAGCACGTGACGCATAAGCAGTAAAGATCATCATCTACAGCGGACATAGGTATCCCATATGCTAGTCGTAGGTCAAAAAACAACAAGATGGATACGAGTGCAACGAAACAAGATCTTAGAAAGTTCTGTCCTATAGAAACTAGCAATAGACACGATGGATTAAAATGGTCCTAATACATGTTTTCTACTACCTCGGTCCCAAAATAAATCAGTTCCTAAAGTCAAACTATCTTAATTTTGACAAACTTTGTATAAAAGAGTAACAACGCCTATGACACCTAATACACTATGAAAATATATGTTATGATACATATAGAGATAGTGTTTTAGTGTCATAAATATTGGTACTTTTTCTAAAGTTGGTTAAATTTAAAATAGTTTGACTTAGGACTACTCTAAAACTTGATTTGTTTTAGATTTATTATGAGCCTTCATGCTAATAGCCAGTAGTACTCATAGATCACCTTAAGGAGGATTGTTATTAGTTAGCATGTTAAAATTACACCATCCGAACATTATCCGCAAGAATACGGGATTAAAAACCTATCAAATCTTTTCCCCATAATATAATATATACTAGCAGTCTGCGCGGGCTAGCAAGCATTACAATGTGCAATGTTTTCATTATAAAATACAATTATGTTTGTTTCAGTCCAAAAGTAAAACCTCTTGAGTTGTTGCTTGTGGTTTGCCAATTTGTGATATATATAGGCATGTAGAAGAATCCAGCATCTCAAACCGAAGCTGTACGGGGTAGGAAGCTTGGTATGAAAATCCATATTCATGCTACATGGATCAGGCTAGGGAACTTGTTATATAATAAAATAAAAATGGAGAGAAGTATCTTGAGATGAGCTGGAGAATAATTTGTTTAAAAAAAATGCAGACCTCATGTGACAGTAATATAATACATGATAAAAACAAAATGGAGACAAGTATCTTAAGATGAGCTGGAGCTTAATTTTTTATAAAATTTTAAAAAGAAACATGGCCCATGCAGGTCTCGAACCTGCGACCTTCGCGTTATTAGCACGACGCTCTAACCAACTGAGCTAATAGGCCAACCTGATGTGCTCACGAGTATTTTTTTGAAATATATAAAGGCCGGCAGACCCCGAACCGCGCCACCAGACAACCACCACGAAGCACACATGCATGCACAGCTCGCGATCCAAAAACGAGTCATCACAATTCGCATCTGGGGAACCGGAAGGTGAACATAAACCGCGCACAGAGCAAGGTTGAGGCAGCGAAGAGAGCGATGCGGTCGTCCGGCGACAAAACAATGTCGAAGCAGCAAAGAGAGCGAGGTCCCGGTCCGGCGAACTCTGCATTAATTATTGATTGATGTGAGGCGTACACGGCAGCTTTGTTTTCTGACACCCCTCTCATTATCTTACATCCAGGGACGCCACACGTACAGACGGACCCGAGACTTCAGCTACTAGACAGACAGGTTCACTCCGCTTCCATTTCATTCACGCACCAGCCATCATCTTCGTCTAGGACATCTTGGCGTGCTGCGCGCGCTGCCTCTCGACGTACTCGAAGAGGCTGCCGTCGAACACGCGCCGCATGGCCTCCCGCGACAGGTACCCCTCGTCGTCCCGCGCCAGCACGTACAGGATCGTCCACTCCAGCTTCGCCGCAACCCTGTGACAGAGAGAGGAGATCGCATAGGCATAGTAAGCCAGGGCCAGGCAGCCTGGATGGATCAGCGAAGGAGATTTGCAATATGCATGCATTGGGGAGGGACGTTGTTGGGTCGGTCAGTGTGCTCACCAGCCGAAGAGATCGAAGGCGTCGCGGAACCCCTCGGTCATCGACCACAGCTCCCTGTAGGTGAGCCTGTCCGGGGACGTGCGCGCGTACTTGCTGAACATGTTCTCGAAGTTCACCGGCATGAACCTGAACCAGAGGACGAATTCAGAATTTGGATCGGAACTCTAGATTGCGCTAGGACAGAGAGACATAATCAGCAGATCACTACCTGCCCTCGTTGTCATAGGTCCCAGAGTCACTGCCATGCTTGCTCTTGTGGATGTTGTGGACGTAGATCGGGAACAGAGGGGATGGCAGCCACCCCTGCAACCACAAATACAGAGATGGAAAAACGTAACGTGTTCTTATTAACAGAACATGCATTTTACGGCCCTAAAACCATCGATTGCATGCCTGAACCAAATTAAAGACGGCATGGGTCGGAGCTGTACTCACAGGCAGTGTGGCATAGCTCATGGCCCCGTTCACGACAACAGCGATGAAGAACGACATGATCATGTTGAACCCAAGCGCACGGCATCCTGCATTGTTTGCGTGCAGTGTATCTCGTCTCAGTGCAGAGATCCAATACATGAAATCCGCACGAGCCAGCAGTACCTACTGCATGCTACTGGAACTAACTAGAGCAGCCGGACGGAGGAGATTGATGCAGCAATATAATTCGTAGGCATATATGCATACCGGAGTAAGTCTCCCAAGGGTAGATGATGCCGTTGTCGTCGCGGTCGAAGAAGGCGACGTGCTGCTGCAACACGCTCATGTGGTGGTGCCTGTGCTCGTCGCCCGTGGTGCCGTCGGGGTGGTAGATGTCCGGCGCCGCCAGAGCTCGCGCCAGATCTGCTCATCAGCAACACGCGTCAGTGGCAAATCGTGCGTACTTTGATAAGCCTCAGCGACGAAGCAAAAGTGCGCAAGACTCACATGGCTTGGGGACGTGCTCCTCGAGGTCGCCGCGGACGGGGCGCATGACGGTCACCGGCGCCTGCAGCGCGACGATGGTCTGGGAGTCCTTCGCCTCCACGGACGACAAGCCGTGATGATGCATGGCCCCGCCGGCCTTGTTGCCCGCGTCGCCCTTCCCTACGTCCCCAGCCTTGGCGCCGGCGGCGGCGTCGCCCTTCGCCACGTCGGCGCCGACCTTGGCGCCGGCGGCGTCGGCCTTCCCATCCGTCGTCGTCTTCGCCGCGCCGCGGTCACCGTTGCGCGCCAGCTTGGCCGTCGTCGCTCCCTGCATCTCCGCTCCGCTACCGAGCGCCGTTCGAGTCTGTTGCCTGGCTAGCCTAACAGGATTGGAGAGATCTGTGGAGTTCGTCAAATTAAAGTGAGAAATCAAAGGCTAGCTGAGCTAGTTTCTGGTGTAGGCCGTGGTGCTGGCCCGCTGCGGTGGACAGTGGACACATATATAAAGCGGCTCGGCGGTCGCGCGGGACGTGTTGCGGCAGCGGACGCGACGTGGGAGCGTGCATGGCGGGCGTCCCTGCGAGGCCGTAACGTGTCGCGGGACGCAGCAGGTAAATGTTTTCTTTGGCTTCCAGATGTTTGTTTTGGTGCCGAGGCACGACGTCGGAGACCTTTGACTAATATTAATATTTATGGTGTATAATTAGTAATACTAGTAAAATTGTCCGTACGTTGTAACAGGACGTACGTCTTGCATGGTCATTGATAATTTATTGCTTAGAGATTTAACTATTATATCATCCATTTCAATTAGTCGTGTAATTTTACTCTATATCATAGTTGGACACGTGCTACTCTTGTGTTTTGTTTTATAATAGTGACTTTGTGGCCATAGCATGCCTATATAGCTACCGATATTGGCTTGAAGCAAATAAACAAATTCTTGTAGACGTCTTTAAAATTAATAGCGGTTGCTTATAATTAAATAAGTTACCACATTTTTAAAAAAAAATAACTATACGAAAGTAGGGCAGTGAATTTGAATACATTAGCACAAATATATAGTTTTTTTTGCTTCAGCTGATGAAGCGGCTTCACTTATAGAGTTGAAATTATTTTAGATAAACGTTTGATAAAATAGCTTCTCTTGATTGTTGAAAATGGTTAAAATGACTATAATATCCTCATTTTTATTTTTTTCCTCTCTTTATTTCCTCAATTATTTTACTGTTCCCCTTTTCTCTTTCTTCCTTGTCTCCTTCACCGTACGCATCTCCTTCTTATCCCCCTCACCGCCCGAATGCAGTAGTTTCCGTCTCCCTTCCGCAGCCCGTAGTCGTTAGGACTTCCTCCACCCATGGCCGGCCGAGCTCCGCCGGTTCCTCCCTCCTCCCTAGCCGCGCTAGGTCGCCAGCCCCACCGGCCCTGCTCCTTAGCTCGTGCCCCCAGCCGGCAAGCCGCGAGTGTGCCAGCGCTGGGGCACCGTCGGCCATAGGGAGTCCGGGACGCCGGCTTCGGCAGCCTCGGGGGCAAGCGCGCCGGCCCCGAGGATGCCAGCCTGGGGGGCTGAGCGTGCTGGATGCGGCGACACCGTCCAGGGGTGAGCGCGCCAGCTACGAGGCCATCGTTGAGTGCGGGAAGCGCCGCCTCTCCCCGCCCGACGCTGTTGCCCTGCTTCAGCGTCTCCCCACACCTCTCGACCTCAGGAACAACCACATCTAGCACATTGATGACCTCAAGCCGCTCGCCGATCTTGTTCGCCTTGTTTCGTTCGATCGACCTTACACCGCTTGCTGATCTTGGTCCAATTTATGTTCATGATCTTATATATCTTATATGTTTGTTATATCTTATATGTTTGTTGGTTTTCTACTTCTATTGGATTCTTTTTTCTATGTCCGTTGGCATTCTACTTCTATTCGATTTTTTTCTATGTCCGTTCATACTCGTCGGTCCGTTCACCTTGTTGAATAGCGGTCGTAGGAGGCCAAGGCCGTCTTGGAGTTAGAGGAGGATTACCGGACAAAAAAAACAGAATATGAATAGAGATTAGAGTTGGACGAAAAAAGCTGTGGCAGAAATTTTGCCTCTTTATTATTAGGTATAGATTAGAAATATAAATATTGCAGATTCAAAAAAATAAATATAAATATTGCATATATTTTATACAAATATAGTCAAAGTTGAGAAAGATCGACAAGTGACTCCTTTTAGGGACGGAAGGGGTACTTGCTTTGGTGCTAGCCTAACAGGTTAGTTAGCCTCGTCATCGCGCTGAAGTGGATTGTTGTCTCTCTCCAGACTCCAGGTACTACTTACTTTGGACACAAATGACATCTACCTTTTTTTTAAAGTAAAGCTAAGGGCTTCTCTAAGAATGTTTCTGTTCAATCTAAGGATATCATCTGGTTTTGTTCATCAACCCTGGCAAGGTTAAGATTAGGACTAAGAATTTGGGGTTACCTGAATCCGATAGATTTAGAAAGATTGTCAGGGGAGAAGACCGGCCTGACAGCAGTGACGACTGGAGGGCGGGGGCGGTGTCGCCAGTCAGACCGAGGGAAGGCGGTTAGACGGGGCATGATGGTGATAGCCCAGCGGCCTCCACCGGGTTAATTAGCGTGGCGACGACGGTTGGATGTGGTGGGTGGTGGCGGGAGAGCTCGGACGAAGATAAATAAAATGTTGAGGAGGCACGTCTAATGGAATTTAGAGCCATGCCAGGGTGGGCGTGGGGGTAGCCACAACTGGGTGTGGAGGCAATGCCAACAAGGGCAAGTGCGAGCCGAGAATGATAGATAATGTGGAGAGAAATGTTTAATCCGGACCCTTTATTTTATATCTAAGGGCTAAAACAATTGAGGTTGTTGTTAAACTACTTAGTCATTGGCTAGACACTCTTTTTTAAGGGACGAGGAATTAAATTAAAACTGCACAATATATCTTCGAATTATATGTGAAAAAATATAATTAGAACTGTACATGTCAACGAGCCTCTATTCTCCAAGCAGTAAGGAGGTGTTTGCGCTGAAACTGCATGTTGCAAGCATTTGTTTCAAATGTTTTAGAGTTATGTTGCAGGTGTTTCATACGGATGTTGTAAAAGTAGATCGGGATATTGCACATGTTGCAATAGTTGTACACGTGTGTTGTAAGCTCATGTTCTTAATGTTTCATCTGTTTTTTTACGTAGGTTGCAATTGTGTTTATCTGGATGTTGTCTATGTTTTCACACATATGATGCAAGTATTTTATCTGGATGTTGCGTATGTTTACAATGGTTTCAAGTGTTTTTCAATTGTTTTTGCAAGTGTTTCAGACGCATGTTTCAAATGTTTTATTTCATTTGTTTTCAGACGTATATTGCAATTATTGCGTCTGGATGTTTCAAAACTAGATCGAGTGTTGCATCTCCCTCCTCGCCCTTTTGCTGCCTCGCCTCGGTGTCAGGCACGGGAAGGCGGAGGCGGTCCCCACTAGCGCGGGCGGGCCCCACATGCTTGGGGGCGGGTGCAGCAGGCGAGACGTGGGCGGGCACGCGAGACCAGGGGGGAGGGGGGGCAGCAGTGCGGGCGTCTAGACGTGAGGCTAGCGTCCGGACATCCGGGCGCTAGCAACACCCATGTTTTATTCAAGTCTTTTTCATCATCCGCATCTTAGTAAAGTCCCATTAAACATCGAAACCAGAGTACAGTTTTCGGCGGATACAATTTTACTTGGAGTGACATCTGGATTAGTGCTCCTATGTCTTTGAATCATTTCTTTAATCAAGTTAAGTTCTTACTCTACTTTACTTAAATTTTCACTCACATTGAGTGTTCTATTTCTAACATGAATTGGGATTAGTAATCGATACTGTATGTATGCTTCCAACTCTCCACAGCAAACTCCACCAGGAGATGAACAGCTGTTGTGATAACAAAATGCGGCACTCCGTCCAACGCCATTTTTAAGTGAGCATAACTCCCAACAAAGTTTCCCTCAAAAAAAATCCCAACAAAGTGCAGCCACTGTCAAGAAAATCGAATATGAACCCCTGCAGAAATCGATGATTAAACCAAACATTTAACTCCATTTAAGAAAGAGACGTTGGATAGTTTCATTGGCACCATAACAATCAACTCCAGAGAAACGGAAAGGGCTGAGCTGAAGTACGCGGGCCCAGTGAATTGTTGAGAATTGGGCTCTGAATTCAGCGACACTGGCCCACTGAATACATTGGCCCTAATTTTCAAAAAAAATAACATTGCTCTTGCTCATGCCGGGCTACGGCTTTGACGAGACTGCAGAGCTGGAATGCGTGCGTCAGTTCTCAGGTCAGATGGTATCTATCTGACTATCTCCCAGGTCCCCTGAGATACCCCCTCCTCTTCGTTTTCTTTTGTTTCCCTCCACTTTCTTTGACGAGATCTCTCTTCTTTGACCTGCAGGCTACAGCTCCGGCGTTTTCTTTATCCATCCATGCCCTCTTGCAGTCTTGTCTCTCCGCGTCGTCGCCCGCTAATCCATTGCTGTCGTACTCGCGGTCGCTTCATCGATGTCACAATCCGATCCTTGTTTGCTTGCGTTTGTTTTAGGCGAAACCAAGAGGGTACCGGCGTAGAAAATACAGCTGCTGCTCCGTGTGTGTCCCTCCCTATTTGCATCAATTCACTCGTACCCTGAATCGGTGAATCCAAGGAAAAAGTTGCGGCTTTCTCACCAATCCTTTTGCTTGCTGTGCAAAGGTCAGATTCTCTTAACAGATTTTGCCCATGAAGTTTCAGCTAGGTTTCTCTTGTACAATCTTTTGTCCATGATCATTTTATGACTGTCCGTTTCCTTTCTTTTTTGTGCATGCGATCTAAAGACCCCTTGTCTCTCTCTCTCTCTCTCTCTCTCTCTCTCTTCATCCCACCCCGTTCTCATATAGGAGTATGCACAAGCACAATTCGAGCTCTGCTAGCTTGCCGTGTTCATTATTTACAGCATGGTTGTCATAGCCTTCTGATCAGCCTATGCAGTCCTAGCAAATTAGCCGATCTTTTTCCCCCTTTTTCTGAATATATGGTACCGACAGTTATTGATTATCGTAATCATCTACTATCCTCAATTTTGGTTGATGGATTTATAACAGCCACACAGGAATCAAAAGCTTTTTTCTTCACAAAATTCCTATGAAAGAATTATCTCTACAAATGTTTCTTCCCCTGTAAATTGAAGTTCTGAACATGTGAATTGCTCTTGCGTTACAGGTCCTCGTATCTCATCTCATGATATGAAGTTGCAGTCTTTGCCTGTTGTTACTGGAGCGCCTTGTTCAGCATCTATGGCACCATCTTCCAGTACCCTCTCCACGGTTATTACGCATGGACGTTTTACTTATTTGACACCATCAACCACGCATTCTTCCCTTTCTGGAATCCTGCCCTCCGACATGGTATCCTATTCTGGACTACCAGAACAACCTTCAGGTGGTAGTTTCTCTGGACTATCTCCTGAAGCAAGCAATTGTGCAGACCCACTTGGTGATGGTGTGCATAATAACATTGGCATTTGCAGTGTTGAGAGTCAGCAAATTGCTGGTTTTGTCAGAACCGTCAACGAATCTGACGCTAGAGATGAATGGTTAACAAGCTTTGTGAATGCGGATTTGGATGATATTATTACCACTGATATAACTTCGAACTGTCACCAAATGGTAATTTACCTCAAAATCAGTAATGCTATATGTTTTCCTTGATCATGGAAACTAAAGCTTGCATTAGACATAACCACATGGGATTTGCATGGTTATATGAGGCAGCAAACCATATATTTCTAGACCTCTCCATGTTATGTTCATTTGGGATGCCTGAAGTTAGAGTTGATAGGTTTCTTTTTTCACAGGCTGAATCTGCACCTGTCCCCTCATATCCAAACTCTAAGTCATGGCAACATGATGAGCACATGGTACATCAATCGGTCTCAGTTCCTTCTGAACCTCAACAATTGTATCCAACTGTTTCTCCTGTGGCAACTACAAATGCTCATTGCCCCAAAAAGGCCAAGGCACGCATGCGATGGACTATGGAAATGCATGATCGCTTCGTAGATGCTGTCAATCAGCTTGGTGGCAGTGAAAGTAAAATTTCAACATTGTGATCACTATCATCGTATAAAGTACTATTGGCTTTGTATTGTAATTATTATTGTCTTATTATTTTTGACCGGATGCAGGTGCTAAACCTAAAGCAATTCTTGATATCATGAATGTTGAAGGTCTGACTCGTGATCAAGTCAAAAGCCACTTGCAGGTATGCTTTCCATTTTCCTTTTCCAGTAAAACTTTTGGTGACACAGACTTCGGTTTTATGGTTTGCTAATTAAACGTAACACTCCAAACAGAACTACAAAATGGCTCAAGCTAAGCATCACCCATCTGAAGGTTAGCAATGGTGGCTGGAAGTTGGAACCATTACTTCCACTTGTTTGAATACACCTTTCATTGTTTCACCTCATTATTAGCACCGCATATTGGTTTTTGTATATGGTGCAAAATTCTTTTGTTTTCAAAGAAATGCATTTCCCGTATTCAAGTCACTTAATTTATCAAATTGTTGATTGCATTACAGTTCCAGGTACATCAGTGGAGACGACCACGTGTAATGAAGCAATACCTTCAGACATACAGAAGTGAGTCATTACGCATTAGTATTCCCATTTCCATGTGCAGACCTGTTTTAGCTTTACTGTTTCTTGCGCAAATAGGTTTTTAAATGACAATGACGAAAACTAAAATTTTGCAAACTATCATTTGGCATGCTACTATGCTTCTACTCTTACCAATGGAATGACTGAACTCCACTGATTGTTCTGAACTTCTTCTGGCTGGTGTTTTCAGTAGCTGGATAGTCTCGTTCTTTCAGTATGCATAAACTTTTCATAATGTGTTCGAGGTGAAAACACTTACTGTAATGTTACTTGCTTTACCCTGGAAGATTTCACTTACCCAGAAGCCGGCTTGTTCGGCTTCTTTTTTCAGCCGGAACAGTGTTTTTCTCTCACAACAATTCAACCAGAACAGTGTTTTTCAGTCAGTTTCAGCCAAGTTTCAGCAAGCCGAACGGGGATAGTTAGTTCCATAAATAAAGAAAAACATGTATATGCAATTGACTACATTTCAATCTAAACTCTCATGCCTCTAGAAGACCAAATAATGTTCGAAACTTTGCCTCTGTATGATAATTCAAAGTTTATTTGGCAGACACATCCAAGAATATGCATTACAGGTGCAGGTACAATTTCAGAAGAAACTTCATGATATGGTAGAGAGGACACTACTGGAGGTACACTGCTTACCTTGAGTTTGCTTTGAATGTTAATCTCCCGTTACATTTTGGTATCTACATAATACAACTTGACCCTACTGGCTCCATAACAAAACGTGATGTTTTTTACTCTGAAAAGCAGCATGATCTTTTTTTTTGGAAGGAGATTTACTCTGCTTTTAAGAAAGCAATAAGAGTTTTACATACTGGTGTACCCAGTTTGCAAGAACGAAAAGAAAGATACAGACTGCCTCCTTGCAGGGAGATAACAGAACCTGAACACAAAAAGCAGCATGATCTCATAATCAACGCATAAAATTTTATCCTGTGCTTGCTGTGCCATAGATTCATAGAAGCCTACTCGAGAACCATGTGCTGAGTCTCCACGAGCTTGAACAGCGGCAGACGGACCGTCGCACGTTGCATCCTCTTCCCGGCCCAGCAGCGGCATGGTCAGCTGCTGCTCTGTCGGCGGGGGGTTCCAGAGGGGTGCGCGGCGAGCCAAGCAACACTGCAGCTCCGGATGATGAGGGCGGTCTGGCTAATCAGGCAACAGAGGTTGGCTCGCCTGGCAATGAGGCAGGAGCATGACTGCATGACCGACCGTCTGCTGATCAAGGCTTCAATGCCTGTTTCTAGATGGTGTTGCCTTTGTGTAAATTACAGTAGGATGAGTGAAAACAGTGAGGACAGAAACGGCAAAGCTACGTGCCATCAGTTGGTTGTATATCTCCAGAACCCTGTGATAAAATCTGTGTGTGATGCTCTGCAGAATCACCTTTTGCAGTGCTGGAATTCCACTCCACATGTAAACTCTAGTCTACAAACTGTACCTTGAATGGCAATGTTGATGTTACTGTGTTCTGATGCTGAATACACTGACTAGTCAATTGAGACAAAAAAAAGGTCATAGTTTCAACTTGGAGCAAAATTCACCACCGGTCTCTAGACTTGGCCGGCGGTGTCATCCAGGTCCCTGAACTTTTAAAATAATATATGTGAGTCCCTAAACTTTGCCAGACGGTGTCATTCAAGTCTCTGAACTTTCAAGATGATCAACGCAGATCCCTAAACTTGGCCGGCAATGTCATCCCGGTTCCTAAACTTTCAAAGTAATCACCGCAGGTCCCTAAACTTGGCAGGCGGTATCATCCCTGTCCAAATGTGTCTAACCTACTCTATAAGCTGGCGTAGCATGCTGACTGTACATTAGACGTGGATCCAACATGTGTCAATTAATTAATCATTATTTATATAATATTTACCATGAAAATATAAATTATATAAAATAATTTACATTAGCAAAAAATAAATTAAAGTATTAAAATAATTTACAACAACAAATATATTAGGTTTAAACTAAAATAGGAAAATACTAAAATTAATTTAATATTTATGTATCATTAATAGTATTAAAATAATATTAAAATTTCTATAGTATTAAAAGTTTTCTCTATTAAAAGTTACTTCTAATTTTAGTATTATTTTAAAAGTTTTAATAGTAGTATTATAAAAGTAACTTTTCTCTATTATTAATACTATAATACTATACTACTTTTAATAGTTGTATTATAGTATTAGAACCTTTAATAATAGTATTATAGTATTAAAAGTTTTAATAATAATTGTTATAGTATTAATAAAAGAGAAAGGTTACTTTTATAATACTACTATTAAAATTTTTAAAATAATACTAAAATTAGAAGTAACTTTTATTAGAGAAAACTTTTAATACTATAGGTAACTTTTAATTTTATTACATTTGGACACAGAAGACACCGCTTGCAAGTTTAGAGACATGCAGTGATCACCTTGAAAGTTCAGGGACCGGGATAACACCGCAAGCCAAATTTAGGGACCTGTGGTGATCACCTCAGTGTTTTTCTCTCACAACAAATCAGCATAAGCATAGCCAAATTTCAACGAAACGAACAGGGCTAGAATTTTGCTGTTTCAACTTGTGTAAAGCAGGATGCCAATCGGGAAAAGGCTACCAAGAGAGGTCACTGAAAGTTGCAATGAAGCCTAACTAGATTGGTTTCACTCCTATGCTACACGCACGCAGCAAGCTACACTTGTCTGTTTCAAGCAGAGTAGCAGACGATGACAGGACAACTGCATAGCATAGGAGTATGACCTACTTCGGTCTTCACTCCTCAGCTATGAACTTGACAGCAATTTGGGAGTTGGGACAACCAACTTTTTGGGCAATAAATCCAGGGAGGGGTATCAATACAGTTTTTGGCTAGTGTCCCGAGACCATACTTTACACAAAACTGTACATATCTTTTCAAGATCATCTCCTGTTAGCTTATTCGAGCAAAGGAAACACAGGATGTCTGTGCCCTATATGCATAAGCTGCAATTATCAGGATGTGAAATTTGCATCTCCTGTTCATTTGCCAATGGTTTGTGGTTCAGTGCTTTTGTACCTGGAAGTTTTAGGGCCTGTTTGGAACAAAGGAATAAAAAACATAAGAATGAGAGAAAACAAAGGAATAGGAAAAGAATGGAGTGTAAAACAGAGGATCGGAGAATATAGGAATTTTGTAGAAATGAGTGTTTGAAACATACGAATGCTAATAGCATAGGAATCTATTGGTTTATGGTAAACTCAATTGTTTAGACTAAACATGGGCTAAATACTCTTTTACAAAGCTGATATATATGAGTCAGTAAAATTTACGTGTCTTGGATGAGCCCGTATGGATGCGCATGCAGGTACGAACTAGTAAACTTTACTTCAACAGTAGTGACTAATGATTGTTCATTACTCGAGCTTCAGAAAAGAAAAAACATAGAACACACCTTGAATTAGCACTTGAGTGTGCGCGCCAGAGTCACAGGAAAAATTCCCATGAGCTCAGAGCTCATTTTTCCATTCCTCCAAAAACGCAGATTTTATCACCTTTCCTTTGGAACGGTTTCTATCTCTTCCTTTGTTCCAAACGCAAGCCTATAGGAACTTGGTTCCTGTTCTTCCTGTGTTTTTTCTGTGATCCAAACAAGGTCTTATTTTATCTTAATTAATGTAGTGAAGTGCATAATGTATCTTAATCACCAAATGGTAAAAAGTAAAAAATAAAAAACAATTTTGAATGTTGTAGAACAAAGATTAAATGCTCTAGAACAAGATTAAATATAACAAGCCACTCCAGTGCTAAAATCAAGATTAAATGCTCTAGAACAAAGAAAATCAGCTATCAAATGTCAAATTTTCATAACTGAATGACAATGACTAATGCCTCCTTTTTACTTCTTCGAAATCTAGAGGGGGATCAGCAGACGACCTATTATAAACTACCACTACGAATTATTGCTACTCGAATCTAGATAACAGAGCCTATGCTAATTTCATGGCGTGGTGAGGCCAATCTCACTGTTTTTTGCCGGCTCGATGCTGCTGCCACCATGGTACCTCTTCCAGGGCTTGTAGTCGTTCCTTTCCAGCATGCGCTCCACTTCCTCGAACTGCAGGCCCTTAGTCTCCGGCACGGTGAGGAAGACGATGATGAGAGCCAGGAAGGAGACACAGCAGAAGAGGAAGAAGGTGGCCGATGTCCCGAGTGCCTTGGTCAGGGACAGGAACGTCTGCGTCACGATGAGATTGGAGACCCAGTTGGCAACGGCCGCGATGCCGCCGCAGATGCCCCTGAACCGCAGCGGGTAGATCTCCGAGTTGACGATCCACGGCACCGTGCCCATGCCGGGCGAGTAGGAGACGATGTACGCGCCCAGGCCGATCAGCGCCAGCCACCCGAAGTTGTTCGGGCACCCCTCTGTGTAGAACTCCCGGTGGTCCGCGCGGCACGCATGCCGAGACTCGTCGTTCAGCGCCAAGCACGCCCCCGGAAGAAGCTGCAACTCCGACGAGATCGTAAGCGATTCCGTTAAGATGAACGTGCAGCAGCAACCCTGCAGACGAGAACGAGAAATGGTGCACTTGCCTTGTCTCCCTGGTGAGCACAGAAGCCGCACGTGGACGCAGCCTTGAGGCAGTTCATGCAGCTCCAGCGGACGTTCGGGTTGAACTCAGGACACGTCTGGGTCTGGTTCGCCAGCAGTCGGGTCTCCACGTCGCTGACTGGTGGGGCGTGGTGCGCGGCGCCCAGGAACGTGCCGCCGAGCACGGCGAGCCACACGACGATGCCAACCAGGCTGATCAGCATCAGGCGCCTCCGGCCTGCCCTGTCCACGAAGAACATGCTGACGATCGAGCCGATGGCGTTCAGGCCAGAGGTGATGAGGGATAGTGCCATGGCTGTGTTGTTGGACGCATAGCCGGCCAGCTGCACGATCGTCGGGCTGTAGTACATGACGGTATTGATGCCCACGAACTGCTGCGCGACTTGGACAATGACGCCGGCCAATAGCCCGCGGCGAACGACCTTGCTGCCCAGCGCCTTCCTCAGCTTGCCAATGAGACCATGCTCGCCGATGGAGCCCTCAAGGAGCACCTCTTCTTCCACAGACCGGCGCATTGCGTCAATCTCTTGCTCGACCTCATTCGCAGGGTAAATCTTCTGCAAGATTGCTGCAGCTTCCTCTTTCCTGCCCTGTTCGTTTCACAAAGAAAGTGCAAATTGTCAATATGTTCCTTCCCTTTCGCAGCATAATCCTTTCCTCGTGTTGGCATGCAACAAAGATTCACTAGATTATTATGTAACTATCTGTAAGGTGCAGACAAAAGGGTGGTATTTGAATCCTAAGTAATTCTTTCATACGAACTACTTTTTGTACAAAAATACTAATATCAACCTTCCTGTAGAGCCATCTTGGTGATTCTGGAAGCATCAGCATCAGTACGAACTGGACCAGGGCAGGAACCCCTGCAATGCCAAGCATCCACCGCCAGGTCCCCGGCACCTGATACAGGTATCGGAGGTAACGTCAATTATTTCTTGCAAAACAATGTTTTCCCACTTTTTTCAAAAAAAAAAAGTTTCTCAAACTTGTAGAAGATGACAAGAGTTGGTCTAGTTGAGTGATGAGTACCTTAGTGAAGGCTAGATTAATGAGGTATGCCAAGAACTGGCCACCAGTGATGAGAAGCCCATTGGTGCTCACTAGAGCACCTCTGATCCTAGCAGGGGAGGCTTCAGAGATGTACAGAGGAGCTGTCATGGAAGCCATCCCAACACCAAGACCAACAAATACCCTACCAACAATGATAATATTAGGTGTTGGGGAAAAGGCCATGATTACGGCGCCTGCAAAGAACAAGGCATCGGCAATTATGATGGAAGGCCTCCTTCCAAACTTGTCATTCATCCAGCCACCAAATGCAGCTCCAACTATAGCTCCAGCAACAGCCATACTGACTATTGTCTCCTGTTATTTGGAATAAACCGTGAGTCCGTGACATCACATATCAGCGTAGCTAGAATGTTATTGTCTGAAGAAAAGGTCAGATGAACTGAAGTTAAACTTGAACCACAGTGCATGAAAAGGGAAACATTGACACATACCCTTAACACAGTGCTCTTTTCCACTGCAGCAAAATCATCTCTAATGTAGAGAAGGGCTCCAGATATGACACCTGGCAAATAAAATGTCAACAGGGTAATAAATCAAACACCTAAACTCCACTCCTGGAGTAGTATGTAAATGAGATGGACATGGAAGATGGGAAGTAAGGATGTCAAAACGTTTTATAAGAACAAGCACAGCATGCAAGGTGTACCACAGGATTAATATCATCATGAGTTCATGACAGTTGCAACTTGCAAATAAAGAGGAAAATTTTCTGGACTTTTTTCTTCAAAATTTCAAGGTGTTGGATAAAAGTTAAAAGCAGTTCCTCTTGATTTCTTCACTAATGTCAAGAAAGAGATATCGAGCAATTGGTTATTCATAGTTGAAAACTTGAAACTAGAACATTTTGTCCTTCAGTATATATGCATGCTGTTTGTCAGGTTTATTGTATTTCAATACAGTACTAAAATCTGAATTGTAAGAAAATAAATCACAGGAGTGGATTGAAACATCTATATATCAGCTTTGGTTACCAGTTACCACCAAATAAATAAATGTCTTGAAAAAATGTCCAGCATCGATGTTATAACTTGTCATGTTCAGATACCTGTATCATATCCAAAAAGAAGACCACCGATGCCAGCAGACAGCACAAGCTGAAGGATGTAAGGCTGTGTCCAGGACAGCCGCAGGCACTCCTTGAATTCCGCCTTATCTGCTACGGTCACACCGCCCTCCATTGATATCCAACTTGGTGTGTAGGTGCTCGGGAACGCACTTCACTGTATCGGTGAAAAAGGAATTCACTAGAGTTGACACCAACAACACAGGCTCTAGTAAATTGTGCTGGAAGTGCAGATTACGACGGTTCAGTAAATCAAACATCAGGATTCTTTTTTTATGGACATAATAACATGCGAAATTCTGAGCATCACGCTCAATCAGAATAGGCCGAAACAGAATGTGGAAACAGTGGCTGAAAATCTCTATCGATATGAAAAAAGGGGGAATCTTATAAAGATGCTTTTACATAAAAAGTCAAATGTATTTTGAGCCCGTTCGCTTCGCTGAAAAAATAAGTCGAAACACTGTTCCAGCCAATTTGTCGTGAGAAAAAAACACTGTTCCGACTGGAAAAAAAAAAAACAAAACATGGCGAGCATGTTACGTGTAGCCAATAGCCATAATCCTATCTTTTGGATGGCAAAAGCAGCATCCTGCATTGCAGAGAACTAGCATCTTGTAGCCATAAACCATAATCCCTGAAATAGTTCAGACTTCAGAGTCGCGTGAACTTACCCAACCGTGGCGAAAGGTATAAACGAAATCTCAGGCAATAGGATCCAGACAGACGGGTAAGAAAATAAGACAAAAATCAGACGAAAATCTCGTAACGATACGATCTTCGTTCGCAAAACAACAGACCGATTCTTATGGAAAGTTAGGATCTGCGGAAGGAACCGACACACACTGACCCCAGAACAACCTCCCATACCCGTACTTCCCGTGAAACCCCTCCACGCTTTTGATGAGGAGAGAACGAGTAAAAGGAAACCCGCAGAATCCCCAACCTCTCCGCACGGAGGACCGCGGCGGAGGATGCGAACGAGAACGGAATGCGTGCAGCGGCGCAAGCCAGAGGCCTCACCGAGAGAGAGAGAGAGAGAGACGAAGGAAGAGGCCTCAACGAGAGAGAGAGACGAAGGAAGCGATCAAAACCCCTTCTCCGCCAGCGCCGCACAGAAGAGAGCCGAGACTCCCTCCCCCCGAGAGGCCGAGAGAACCAAGACAAGACGAGAACGATGAGGCAAGTGGAAGCGTGGCCGTGGACGTTCGATTTATTGCGGACGCCGCGCGGCGCGACGCCTCCTCGCACGCGCGGTGTTCAGTGCGGCCCGGGGCCGGGCGGGCTTGGCTTGGCCGTCTCGTGCTCTCCTCGGCGGGGTGCAGTGCACCGCGATGATGCGATCCCGGCCGTCCGAGACGATGGACGCGTGCGATCCGCGGAGCGGGTCCCATATTCTGGCTTGTGCCGCGCTACCGCCCGGCGCCCGTTCAGCGCTTGGGTGTTCGCTGCTGCTGAACTGCGCCTGCGCGCGATCCTTTTGACCCGCCCAGATCTCTGCCCGTGCGGTGCGGCGGGTCGGGCAGGAACTGGGCTGCTGCTGCTGCCTGATGGGAAGAGAACACCCGCGTGGTCTTCGCACGCGCAGCCGCGGGTGTTGAGTGAGTGGTGCGGGGATCGCAGGTGTTGGAGAACGCAACAACTTCCCGGATCGGCTGCCCAAATTAGGATACGGGAGCCGACCAGCCCAAATTAGGATATGGGCGCCGACATACCAGGTTGTTTGGTTCCAGAGACAGTCCATGTCATATCGGACGTTCAGATACTAATTAGAAGAACTAAATATAAGTTAATTATAAAATTAATTACACAGACAGAGACTAATTTACGAGATGAATCTATTAAGTCTAATTAATTCATCATTAACACATATATATATATACACTGTAGCACAACGTTGTCAAATCATAGACTAATTAGGCTTAATAGATTTGTCTCACAAATTAGCCTTAATCTGTGCAACTAGTATTATAATTAATCTATATTTAATACTCTAAATTTGTGTCATACATCCGACGTGACAAAAACTAAAATTTAGTCCGTGAAAAAAACCCCCTCTGAAGACAGTGTGAGCAGCATCAGAAAATCGGAACCGCAAAAGTTGCGAGGCTAATCCACACATATCCAAAACTGAGCAGTAAATGTTTGGCATTTCGAAGTACATCCTACGGGAACTGTATCATCAATGGCGTGTGTTCGCTATACTTCTCAAGTATTTCAGCGCAATACATTGTTTGCTTTAGGAATGAAAAAAAAAACTATTTTCAAGCGCAATACATTGTTTGCTTTAGGCATGGAAAAAAACTATTTTCAAGAGCAATACATTGTTTGCGTTTTGATGTCGTCGAAGTGGCGGTCGCGATTGACCACCAACGCCTGTCGAGCAGCATCCCAGATGACGGCTGCACGTGTGAGCCGTGCAGTGATAGTACGGTGGATGTAGCGCACCCGACTTCCTTCGCGGATGTACACCTCTGTCTCCCAGAAGCCGGTGTAGTCGGGGTGGATCCAATGCTCTGTCCGGTACTGCACGGTGCACCTGGTGTGGTAGCGGCGTACAAGGGAGAGAAGCGTTGGGTGGTAGTAGGCATCGCCCGACAAATCATAGTGGATCTCTGCGGTCCACCCCTTAGCCACCAGTGCGGCATGGTAGTCATCACCATCACCACCATCATCTCCGTCACCATCACCACCATCATCTCCACTATCATCTCCATCAGAGTTGTCAGAATCATCACCATCATCAGGGTCACCAGCTCCATCCTGACCCCCTTGTTCAGCTTCCTCCATGGGCTCCTCCACCATGTTCTTCAAAGCCTCAACTAGGTGTGGGGGAACGCGCTTGCCAAGCGTGAACCTCGTCCTCCTTGTTGGCATCACAATGGTACGCTTGCGGGCTGTCAACTTGATGCGGACCATCTATAAGATTGAAAAGGTTGAGTATTAGAATAAGATAATTTTTGCAATAGGTAAAAGACAGAATATAAGCAAAAAATTTTATAGTAAATTAAAGGTAGCAAAATAAAGATAATGTGGTCCTAAAGATGTCCATTTCTAACTAGGTTGATCGTCTTACAATCAGTTATAGCTCTGATACTAATTTGTCGCACCCAATTTTACATAACAAAACCAAGTGCTCATAAATGTGCGCCCAGGATGTCCAAACACACATATAATCTCAAATTACAATAATATCAAAGTAAAGTATTTTATTACATCGCATAATCTCATCACCTAATTGTCACAAGTCTTGCTCGTCGGTAATATTATTACATAGAGTAGATCATTAAGCCCAATATGCCACAGGGACTTCAACTGGGAGACATCTTCCTAGTCGTCCTAGACATCCTCTAGAAACTCTTCATATGTATTATATGTTACCCATTCGGGATTTTCATTGAATGTAAAACAAGTGTAAGCTCATCATGCTTAGCAAGCATATCAAAGGGATCTATGAGGCTTAAATGCTAGACACAGTTTGACTGCAATTAGCAATTTTAGTTGGTCAAATTTTAACATCCTGAATCACTACTTTAGTGAATAAACCCAACCCAATTGGTAGTAATGAATAATCAAGATTATATCAAGTCCCCAACCATCCATAGTAACCACTAATCATGAAGGATCTAGATCGTTCGTATCCATGAGCACGGCTGTTATAACATGTTAAATATTTCTACAGAAATTATACAACTATACCCACCGAGCCGTGATTCCTAATGCTGGGGTTTGCAAAGCCCACATCACCTCTACCTAAGAAGTGTGGCAGGGTTTCACTACGTAACCCTTCGCTAGTCGCACTAACAAGTCGTAACTGCTAAGGCTTCAGCCGTCTAGCCGTATGTGGCCCTCCTCTAGGAGTGGCACTCGTGTCGCGGCACGGTACACACCCTAGCAAGAAAATAAATATACCAACTAGTGCCCCCTCTTGCCCTTACGAAAAGTTACAAACGAGCTAGTACAATCTAGTTAACAGGTTAAAGTCATATCCATATGACACTTGGGGTTGTACAAAACCTCCTGGATGGCCGCTTCAGGATTAAGTCTTTATGGAGAGGCACTAGAGCACTCAACCCAGTACTCTAGCCCCCTAATTGTTGTTAAAAAGCTCAATTTTAACATATTGCATAATACATTTAGTCATGTTTAACAATTATTTTATGTTGAGCGCTGCAACATCTATCCAAAATGCATCACAAACCATAGGTATCAAGGATATGTGGTACAATAGTAATCTAGGTAAAGTCCTTAAAGGTACTTCAAATTTAGACACATGCATGTATATGAATTGTACAGTTCATAGGTACAAGGGGCCTTTGCTACACTTGCCTTCCTCAAAGTTCTCCTCCTGGTACTACTGGTCACCTGACTGATCCTCAGTAACCTCGAACTGATCACCCTATAAACATGTTCCAATTCACCAATCAAGCATCCATTCCAATCATCACATGCATACAAAGATACTTCTATTAGAACAATACACCAAACAGTAAAAACATAGACTGAAAAGATTATAAAACTAATCTACATACCGCTACAAACTCATGAGCGAAAGAATCACTCTAATCGGACTTAAAACGCAAAAGTTATGCAGGAAATAAGGTTCCAATGGCATTTCTATAAATAAACCGAACTCAAATTTGAATAAAAACTAAATTCTAACATGATCTGGACGGCGCGCACTATTTTCCAAAAGTACAGGGGCTAAAACAGAAAAAAAAACAGGACTAAAAAGTAATACTTTTGAACTATATTGGACCGCGGGTTGATTCCTTGAAAACCCGGGAGCTAAACTACAAAAGCGCCCGGCTGACTGTGGGTTGACCCGTGTGGCTGCTGACTGGGCACCACGCAGCGTGCTCTGGTTGGTGTGGTGTACCACCGTGTGCGGTGAACTGGTGATGTGGGCGCTGTGCTCCGTGTCCACGGTCCACGGTGGACTGGTCATGCCCCGAAGGGGTAAGTTCTATTCGCGACCGTTCAAGTAAATCCGACGGTGAGGGAATGAAGGGGAGGACCCTCGCCACCTACACAATGGCTCCGGCGAGCCCGCCATGGCCGACGGCGAGTCGAGCACCACGGCGAACATCGATATGGCGTTTCGAACCACCTCGT